TTAACTGTAAACAGTTTAGATATGATTTGGAGATTTTCTGTATTTCAAATGTAATCTGTAAACTCTATAAATATGTATCTTGCTTCCTTGAATAATATAACAAACATTTACACAAACAATCTGATCCTTTCATGGTATCAGAGACCAAAATACTCAAACGAGTTTTTTTCTTTAGATCCTACAATGGCTACAACTCCTCAAGTTGCTTCTACAACGATTCCCGTTAATTCCCAAAATACTCTGATTACCATCAATGCTGCCACTCAGCTTTTGCTTAAATTAACCACCCTTAACTATCCCTCATGGCGTGCTCAAGTTTACGCCCTTTTAATTGGTCTTGACCTCACTGGCTACATTGATGGCACGTTGCCATGTCCACCCTCCACCCTCACCAATGGCGTCCACCCTCCACCCTCACCAATGGCGAAACTGTTTCCGTCCCTCACCAATGGCGAAACCGTTTCCGTCAATCCTGCTTATGCTCTTTGGTTTCGTCAAGATAATCTTCTTCTTCATGCTATTTTAGCTTCTGTTTCTGAATCACTGGTTACTCTTATTTCTTCGTCAAAAACATCAGCTGAGGCTTGGAATAAGCTAGCCTTACGCTTTGCGAATAAGTCCCGTTCTCGAGTCATGCATCTCAAAGAAAGACTCTCACAGCCTCATGGCACCAAATCTGTTTTTGATTACCTTCAATCTCTTAAATCCACTGCTGATGAGCTTGCTCTTATTGATAAGCCTTTATCTGATGATGATCTCACCATTCTCATTCTAAATGGTGTTGGATTCGAATTTCGAGAACTAACCACTGCCATTCGAGCACGGGAAACACCCATTGTTTTTGAAGAACTACATGAAAAACTCCTGGACTTTGAAAATGTTCTTAAAAAAGATAATTCCCCTGAAATTTCCATTCAAGCCAATGCTACAAGACGCAACTACCAGCCTCGAAATTCTTTTCAAAATAATGGCAACAATTTCAATCAATCTAGAGGACAATCCTCTCATTCTTCTCAACCACACAACAATGGAGAATTTCAAATTCAATGTCAGTACTGTGATCGGTTTGGTCGTTCGGCCAAAGATTGCTTCAAGATTAAAAAACGATCAACTCCAAATCCAACTGCTAATGCCACAATGACCTCGAATCCCAGCTCCTCCCCCTGGCTTCTTGGTTCTGCAGCTTCCCATCATGTCACAAGTGATCTTGGTAACTTGTCTGTTCATTCCGAATACACAGGCCTTGACGAAATACTTATTGGTGATGGCTCAGGTTTGAATATAACACACACAGGACAAACAAATCTTAATCACTCTTCTCTCTCCTTCAAATTGTCTGATGTTTTATATGTTCCTACCATGAAAAAAAATATAATCTTTGTTGCCCAATTTTGTATTTCCAACAATGTTTCCATTGAATTTTTTTCCTTTTCTTTTTAAGGTGAAGGATCTCAACACGGGGGTGCCTCTCATTTAAGGGAAGAATAAAGATGGCGTGTATGAGTGGCCAATGGCGGCTCGTTCACCGTTCACCACACCTACAGCTGCTGCTAGTGTTGTGGTCAACTGGCATCATCGTCTTGGTCACCCGTCTACCAAAGTTACCAAAGTTCTGTCTCATTTGTCAAAAAACAATTCCTTTATTATCTCTTCTAGTAATTCATTTTGTGAGTCTTGCTCTTGTAATAAAAGTCATCGATTACCTTTTGGGGAATCGTCGTTATCGTCCAAATCACCTTTAGATCTTGTGTATTCTGATGTCTGGGGTCCTGCCTCTATTAATTCAATTGATGGTTTTCATTTCTATGTTATTTTTGTAGACCATTATACTCGTTATACATGGTTATTTCCAATTAAACACAAATCTGATGTTTCGTCTCTCTTTCAAACATTTAAAGCTCAAGTTGAAAAACAATTTCAAAAATCTATTGTTCGTCTCTACAATACAACATTTACTTACTCCTCATACGCCACAACATAATGGCATTTCTGAAAGGAAACATAGGCACTTAGTTGAGACTGGTCTCACTTTACTACAAACAGCTTCTCTTCCTGTTCAATTTTGGTCCCATGCTTTTCAAATAGCTTGTTACTTAATTAATCGTCTACCTACACCAATACTCTCTATGTCTTCTCCTTATGAGAAACTCTTTCAAACTTCCCCAAATTATTTAAAAATACGGGGCTTTGGTTGTCTTTGCTTTCCTTGGCTATGGCCATATACGCGTCATAAATTACAACAAAAGTCGTTTCCGTGTATCTTTTTAGGGTATTCTTCTACTCAAAGTGCCTATCTTTGCTTTGATTTTAAAACTGGAAGAACATACGTTTCTAGACATGTGAATTTTGAAGAGTCCATCTTTCCTTATGTCTCTCATAATTTAAGTCTCCCACGTGTTGCTAACTCTAAGCCTTCTTGGCTAAATTCCATTACCCAAACTCCTTCCTTTTATCATGTTCTAGTTAACCACGACACTACATATTTACAACAGGTTGGTGAATTGGTGGATTCGCCGTCGACTACTCAGGTACAACTATCATCTCCTTCTTCTTTGACTGATGGGCAATCCCACCTTCCACCTAGCTCTTCTACTCTATCTCCACCTTCACCACACCCGTTATCTCCATTACAAACTTTACCCCTAGCCAGTCCTACTCCATCTCCATTAACGTCACCACCAGAAGTAACCTCTCCACACCAAACTCCAACAAATTCTGCTTCTCCCTCACCTGAGCCAGTTTTACCCACTCGTGTACATTCTATGACGACACGGTCTATGAACAACATTTTTCGACCAAAGCAACTTCACTCTTCTGTTAAACATCCACCACCTTCGTTTGTTGAGCCAACTTGTGTCACTCAAGCTCTAACAGATAAAAATTGGAGAGTTGCTTTATCTACTGAATTTAATGCTTTGTTACAGAATCGCACATGGAGTCTTATTCCTTTACCTACAGGTAAGAATGTTGTTGGATGCAAGTGGGTCTTCCGTATCAAACGGAATCCCGATGGCAGTCTTGCTCGACATAAAGCGAGACTAGTCGCGAAAGGATTTCAACAACGTCCAAGCCAAGATTTTATTGACACATTCAGTCCTGTTGTCAAACCGGTTACTATTCGTGTTGTCTTGACTATTGCTTTGACCAATGGATGGAACTTGCAACAATTAGATGTCAATATGCGTTCCTTCATGGACCGCTTACTGAAGAGGTATACATGGTTCAACCTCTTGGTTTTGTTGATCAGACTCATTCCTCCTTTGTTTGTAAACTGCACAAGTCGATATATGGGTTGAAGCAAGCACCAAGGGTATGGTATAGCTCTTTCGCAGTTTTTATGATCCTTTGGGTTCAAAAATTCCAAAGCAGATGCTTCGCTTTTCATTTATTCGGATGCAGGTTCTGTGATATATTTTCTTGTTTTTGTGGATGACCTTATTGTTACTGGCAATAATAATCAACTTATTTCGGATTTCTTGTTGAGTTTGGCCAATAAATTTTCTATCAAAGATCCACAACAATTGCATTATTTCCTTGGCATCTCTGTTAATCAGTTTAATGGTGGACTTCTGTTATCTCAGCATCAATATATCTTTGATTTGCTCAAGCGATGTCGATTGATTGCTCAAGGATGTACGAATGGAAGATGCAAAATCTGTTGGCTTCCTATAAGTTCAGTGACTGCTCTTCGTCTCATGGATGGCCGCAGTACTGAGTTGATCTGAAACATATCGCAGTATAATTGATCCTTGCAATATCTTTCTTCACCCGACCGGATATTTTGTTTTGCTGTCAATAGGCTATCTCAGTTCATGCATTCAGCCCACTGAAATAACTTGGCCAAGCACTGAAACGATTCTCCCGTACCTCAAAGGTACTGCTTATTCATGGGGTTTACATCTTCGTCCTTGTAAAAAGTTTTTCAATTACAGCTTTCTCAGAGATGCTGATCTGGCGGGGGTGATTAAAGACCACTTGCTTTTTCTACAAGTTGCATATGTTATTTCTTTAGTACTGCACCAGTGTCTTGGCATTCAAAACCGACAGCGGACTGTTGCGCTCGGTCTTCACAAAAGCCGCAGTAGTCGATCAGTAGCAGCCCACAACGTCATGAGTTTCGTTGGCTTCAAAGTTTGCTCAAGAACTCCAGCTTACAGTTATTTATAAGCCATTATCTTGTGTGATAATATTGGGCTACATACTTCTGTGCTAATTCCTGTTTTCCCATTCTCGCATGAAGCATTTATCTCTGATTATCATTTTGCTCGGTGAGAAGGTAACTTCTGGTCAACTTGTTGTTCAACATTCTCTAGTTCAGGATCAGGCTTGCTGATTTGCCTTACTAAGCCGCAGTCAAAGTTCGATTACGTATTGTTTTTCGGACCCAGATTGGCATCTTTGATGGAAAGCTCAATCTTGCGGGGGTGTATTTGAGGATAACTCTGCTTGTAACCAAGTCAAACTAGTTAGTTTCTGATATTCTGATTTTGTTTAACTGTTAAAATAGTTTAGATACTGATTGAGATTTTCTATATTTCAAAATGTAATCTGTAAACTCTATAAACAAGTCAAACTAGTTAGTTTCTGATATTTGATTTTGTTTAACTGTAAATAGTTTAGATATGATTTGGAGATTTTCTATATTTCAAATGTAATCTGTAAACTCTATAAATATGTATCTTGCTTCCTTGAATAATACAACAAAAACATTTACACAAGCAATCTGATCCTTTTAATAGATACACTTACTGTTAGACTATGTCTTAGTATTGTTGAGTATTGAGAAGGAGATTTAAATCCGGATCTATTATTTGATCATAGATACACTTACTGCTAGACTATGTCTTAGTGTCCGGCAATATATACTTTAATTCATTACAAACAGTAAATCCAAATTATTAGAAAGCAAAGCAACCATTATGTCTCTCCCCTTTTATCACGACACTTCAACAACCAAACTATACGTCGAGTGATAAAATATAATCAAGTTAAATGGATGATTTATATAAAATCAAAATTAGATTTATGAAAAGAAAGAACATTCAAAAAGGAATACTTACGAACTCTAAAATGAGATTTCTAAAACGAGATTAACATCGTATTATTTGAAAGGGTATCTGAATATTTATGGAAAATTAAAAAAACTGCTCCTGACATGGCGCGTGTGAAAAAGAAGCATTGAGTTCTGTTGAAAAGAATTACCAGAAGCAGCGTAGCACCAGTATCACAGTAATCCATGTCAATTGCCCTCCAATTTTCTTTATTTCTTTATCCTTCTTTCTTTCTTCATCCCAGGACTTTGTCTGCAAAAAAAACTCTCTTTTAGTCAAAAGCACCATTGGGACCCTCCACTTCTTTTTCCAATCTTCATTTGCTAATCATAATATTTATATTTTATGATGTAATAACTATTAAGAGTCTTAAACAACATTATCAATCATCCAACTGTAAAGCAATCAACTTATAACATTGGGTACAGATTGCACAAAACCCAGAAGTGCAATGAGCCTTAAAAAAAGAAAGAAAAATAAAGCTAAGGATAATCAAAATCCCATCTACATATTTTCTTTTTCTTTCACCAAATTAACCAGTAAGTAAACAAACCCTCGAAAGAAGGGAAACCCAGATAGAGAATCTACCAAATCATGCCTTCAAGATCCTTACCTCCAAGTTTTGACCATCCTAGACCAAGTTTCATTACTAAAACAAGAATCTTGTTTTTGATACTTACAATCTCAGCTTCTGTTGTGATTATCTTTACGATTATTTACTTCCTTTACCATCTTTGGTATTCTCTTGTAAATCGCTCAAGAACTATCCCTTTTGACTCTACTACTACTTTAAAGCTCCAAAGGTTCCCTTACAAAGAGCTTAGAATTGCCACCAATGATTTTGATGATGGTAATATTGTTGGTAAAGGTGGTTCTGGTACTGTCTTTAGAGGCATTGCAACAGATGGGAAGTTATATGCTATTAAGAGGCTTGATACTGTCTCTTTACAATCAGAGAGGGAATTCCAAAATGAGTTGCAGATTCTTGGTGGGTTAAGATCACCTTTCTTGGTTACTTTATTGGGATACTGTGTTGAAAAGAATAAGCGCTTGCTTATTTATGAGTATATGCCTAATAAAAGTTTGCAAGAATTGCTATTTGGAGATGGGCATTTGAGTCTTAGTTGGGAAAGGAGATTTAGCGTCGTTCTTGATGTCGCAAAAGCACTTGAGTTTTTGCATCTTGGATGTGATCCACCAGTTATTCATGGAGATATTAAGCCTAGCAATGTTTTGCTGGATCTTGATTTTAGAGCCAAGATTTCTGATTTTGGGTTATCAAGAATTAAGGTGGAAGGTGAGTTTGGAGTGGATTTGTTTAGCCAAGATTTGGGGAAGAGTCAAGATTTATGGAAAAGTCAAGAGCTTTCGGGAAATTTGACTTCCGAGACTCCAGCAATTGGTACACCTGTGGAGAGTTGTCAAGAGGTAGATTTTGCTCTTGCTTTACAAGCTTCTTCTTCATCAAAAAATAGTAGAACATGCTATAATGTTAGAGCTTTGAATGTGAATTCTTTGAATTATAATGCCAACATTGCCGGTGAGAGTGGGGTTAAAGTAGGGAATGGGAATGGGAAAGGGAAAGAAGTTTCTAGTGTGGATATTAGCGGGGATGACTGGAATTGTAGGTTTTTGCCTTATGATGATGAGCCTTGTAGTATTGATCATAGTAAAGAGTTGAACTTTACTGGTTCTTCTGCTATTGATGATTCTACTGGTACAAAACAATGGGGAAAGGATTGGTGGTGGAGACAGGATGGAAGTGGTGAATTGTGTAGTAAAGATTATGTTATGGAGTGGATAGGGAGTCAGATTTGCCCATCCACAAATCCTGATTGGGATGAGGAAAAGAAAAATACTCCTGAGAGAACAGAATTGCATAGTTTAGCCCCATTGGATAAAGTGGAAGACGGAAATGAACCTCAGTCACAAGAATTGGGGTTAGAAAATCACATTAAAGGATTCGAGATGAAAGATTCAAGAGGCAGGAAGAGTCGTAGAAAGAAAAATAGGAAGATGCAAGAATGGTGGAAAGAAGAACATTTAGATGAGATTAGCAAGAAAAATACTAAGCTGAAGAATCTTGAAACAAAGTGGAAGAAAAGATTTAAAACTCCCCATTTTCATTTGAGTTGCCGGTTTCATTTTCAAAGGCGAAAGAAATCTGGAGAGCTGAACCAAAATGCCTCTGATCAAAATGGGGAGTTTAGTTTCAGAAGGGGTTGGAAGAAAAAGAATGGACATTCTGCAGGAAGTGATATGTGGAGCGGAGATCTTTTTAGTCGCGAATTGAGCAGCACAACAAGCATGAGAGGAACTTTGTGCTATGTTGCTCCAGAATATGGTGGATGTGGGTACTTGATGGAAAAAGCTGATATATATAGCTTAGGGGTTTTGATTCTTGTGATTGTGTCCGGTAGAAGGCCATTGCATGTTCTTGCTTCACCTATGAAGCTCGAGAAAGCAAATTTGATAAGCTGGTGTAGGCACTTAGCTCAAGCTGGCAACATTTTAGAACTTGTAGATGAAAGATTGAAGGATGAGTACAACAAAGAAGAAGCAAGCTTATGTATCAATTTGGCATTGACTTGCTTGCAGAAGATGCCAGAATTAAGACCGGATATTGGAGAGGTTGTAAAGATTTTGAAAGGGGAAATGGATCTTCTGCCTCTGCCATTTGAGTTTTCGCCCTCTCCACCATCTAAGCTGTTTAGTAGGTCGCGGAGAAGACAGAAGTCAAATGCAGAGTAACTAAGTTTGGTAAATATTCTTTTTTTTTTTTTTTTCTTTCTTTTTGTTATTTGGTATGTGGAGTTTTCAGTTTTCACTGAGTTTTTTTATAGGAGAGATAATCGGAAGATGTAATCTGATAAACACAACTGGGGAGTGAAGGATTTGTGTTTTAGTACTGTGAGGGTTTATGTTGCCGTATGTAAATTGAGCAAATATTAATGGGGAGTGAAGGATTTATGTTGCCGTTTTCTGCTTTCTCTTCCTTTAACTGGATGCAAATATTAATGTCTGAAGCTCATATGTCTTAATATTTGCTTTTACTTTTTGCAGTTTATGTTGTGCCGTTGATAATTCTGGGATTAGGACAAGCAAAGCTGACCTGGGTAGATACTGGTTTTCTTCTTCATTTGCATATAAATAGACCACAATTTTATGTTTTTTTTATGAAACTTCCTATTGCATTCATTTGATGTAAGGTTGAAGGGTACATACATAAAGTTAACATGTTAATATATGAAAATGAAATCCAATTTTGATTTTTTTTTTTTTCCCCTTCTTCTTCTGGTAATTCTGCTTCCAAAAACATTTTATGACATGAATTGATTCCCTTTTTCATAGATGGAGGATAAAGAAAAGGTAGGTTGGGAGGGGTCCAAGCATATTCTCATGTGAAGAAAATGTAACAAGAGCCAAACGGAATATTATTGCGAGCAATCCGGTATCAGTTTTACCTTTTTTAAAATTGAAACCTACGATTCTGAAACTATCACTGTCCTTGTTTAGTCTTGCACATGACATTAAGTTTAGTTTACCTTCTTGCTATGGTCAAAAACAGAACTTTGTAACTAGTCTGAAATTTCTTCAATAACTATAAGACGACAACTCTAATTTAACATTCATTTGAAAAAAAAAAAAAAAGTTTGAAACTTTTGTGCATTCTTGGATATTAAATGTGTTGCATTTGAAATACCCTATTCAAAGGGCGTTGGTCTTGTCCACATCAAAAAGACAAAAACCCAAATGTAATTATGCCGATTGCAAGTCACCATTCAATGGAATTCCTTTGGATGATAGCTCCTTTAATTTCGGTTAATTTTGTTGACTAGTGAGGCCATGGAGCCACACATGTTTCTATCATATTAAAGTTTCGAGTACATCATCAAAGCCACTAATTAAAGTATAAATCTCACAACATTGTGTATGATGGGTGTCTTTTATAACGCTCATATATTTTAATTGTTGATTCTAATTCGATTTTAATCGTCTCTAATTAAATTTTTATTTTATATTCAAAATAATTTATTTGGTTTGAAATAAATGAGCTTCTTAGTTTCATGTTCAATCATCATGGAAAAAGATTCGGTCGGATTGAATCAATCTGATTCGATTTGATAAAACCGAAAGCTTACCCGATAATACTTTTGCTTCCTATGTTAGCTCTAGGTTCTAGCTAAAGGGGTTTGAAAGCAGGGAAGATGTAGCCCCAAATTTAGTACTAATATTCCTATCATTGTCAATGTTTGGCAATTTAATAGGTACCCTAATTTTCAACGGCATGTAAAACAAATATTTATCATGTAAGTTGGCAATTGGCCAAACGCAATAAATAATAAATTAATCTTGTTATGGTTTGTCCATTTGCGTTTTCAAACTAGTTGGACCATGACTAGAATCTTGAAATGAGGACTATTGAAATCATTATTATATTTAATAAAAATGAAGATTTATAAATTAATTAAAAATAGCATTTTTAGTCACTTTATCTAGTTGTAAGCAGAGCAAGAACTCAAACTTAGAGGGTCAAAAAAAATATTTTCAAAAATTAAGAGGCAAAACAAAAATATACTCCACTAAGATTGAAGTTAGTATTGATGTGGTGTAGGACAAAGGAAATAAAAATTTTCCTTAATTTCAGAGATGAGTTGTGTACAATCTTAGCCATTGCCATTCTTGTGGATGATAGACTTGGGTCTTTATCTTATAGATTGGGCCGGACTAAGATTTGTGTTAGCCAAACCGAGAATGTCAGCACATTCTTGTTCTCAAAGACCAATTGCAATATTTTCGTTTTGGAAAAAAAAAAAAAAAAAGACTAATTGCAATATTCACGTTTAAGACTGATTTTTTTTTTTTTTATTGGATGCCTAATAAACCGATATAATATCATAGGCTACATAATATGATTAACATGTCTCTTTTGAATAACATTTACTAAATTGATGATATAATATAATTTTAAAAACGGGTCAGTCAATTCAATCCGGATCTCTTTTTTAAATGGTTTAAAAGCAAAACCGATCTAATCTTAAAGTCGTTTCACCGGTTATCCGAGATGACTAGCCGGAACGGGCCAAACGAATGGCAATTAATTGTTGTCTCGGTGTCTGACAAACGAATAAGAATTTTTTCCTTAATTTAGAAGTGACCTACATATAATCTAACCCATTGCCATTGTTATGGTTGATAGACTTTGTTCTGTATTTTATGGATTGGGCCGGACTAATATACGTGTTACCCACACCGACAGCCAAGTCTTGTTCTGAAAAACTAATTCAAAAAATAAAAATGAATTTATTTTCACCATATAAGACTGAGTTCTATTGTATGATTGTTCTAATTAAAATTTTATTTATTTATTTCTTTGCACAATTAGGGCTCCTTTGGTTTCACTTTTGCCTTGTGATTTTGTATCTATACCTAAAAAGTAAATTTTAATTTTTTTAATACATAAGGAGAGCGCTCAAAAGAACAAGCTAACAGCAAAATTTGGAATATAAATTATACTGAATTAGATAAGTCATAATGTTTTTAAACGATTTTATCATTTTAAAATTTGAATAGATATATTATTTAGAATTTAAAATTTATTTGTTAAGTTTTAACATTTAATTTTTAAGCACACCAAAACATAGTTTAGTGGTAAGTGCATATATAATATGACAATAGATTCAGATTTGAATCTTCCATACTCAATACTCCAAAAAAACCATTTAATTTTTAAATTTTCCAAACAACATTTATTTGGTAAAGCATTGATTTTAGGCTTGTTCGATAAAATTAATGGTTTTACTAATTGTTTATTGTGTTAAATTAGTTGTTAGTTGTCTTAATAATGTTCAGTTATTTGACTAGCGTTTATCAAACAATAAAGATAAAGAAAATCGCTATAAGAAAAGTTATTGTCAAACAAGATATTTCTGTTAGGAATCTTAGCCTAGAGCAATTAATCAAATTCAATTAACAATTGTATTTTATTAATAATTCGAGTTTATAACGAGTTGCATTTATCTTTAACATAAAAGGTTTAACCTTCAATTTTATCCCGAACTTTTCGAATAGTTACAATCTCACTCTAAATCGACTATTGTACCCTAGACACCCAGAACTTATCAACATAATTGCAATTACACCTGATTTGCTTTTAGGGTGCAATTGCACCATAAATGTGAATGACAACACTCTGAATTTGTTGATTTATTACAATTGTACCTAAAAGTAAATTAAGATTGAAAATTTTGATTAAAAACAATATAGTCAATGGACTCCGTAACTAATCCAAGTATTTAAATAATAAATAATAAATCCAAACCTAAGTATTCATATAATAAACAAAAATAATCAAGATTGTGTCTTTATCTTAAAATTAAACTAATTTTAAGATGCAAAAAATAATGAGTTGGATACTAATTGAATGTTACACTTTCGAACGATGAAACAAATATGGCGATTCTTTTGTGATTCCATTGTAATCATTATTTAATTTCTTACAAGGGGATAAAGATAAACTAAATGATAAAAGAGGCAAAATGATAAATTCATTCTTTTAATTTAAATATAATGTATTGCATTTAACTAAATTTGGATTGATTATGGAGTTCATTTTTATATTATTTTAATTATAATCCCAACTTTAATTTATTTTTAGGGTGGAATTATAACAAATTGATAAGTTTAGAATGCTCTAATTCATTTTTAACGTGCAATTGGACCCTAAAAATAAATTATCGTGTAATTGCAACTAAATTGGTAAATTTAGAGTACATAATATATAAAGTTTTATTTATGATTATTAGACCAACATAACATGAACTAATCAGTTCTATCTTACTCATTATATATAATTTACTCAATTTACATTTACCTAATACCTAACGTGGTATTCAACACAATTGAAGTTGGAGATTCCTACGTTGAAAGGGAGATTGGTTTATATGCACATAGACATATACGCACAAACATGTGCTATACATTACATTTACGTACGGAAGAGTACTTGCAATCAAAAAATCTGCACATGTCTAAAATAAGTGTAAAAAAATAATTATTTTTCAATCATGTTTTTATTTGAAAAAATAAAATATAAAATGCCTAACGTACAGCAAGGCAGGCAGATTGCCATTTCTTTTATCACCGTATGCGTATGTGCTTACCCATTTCCAGTTATAGTTATCAATGACGTCACTATGTTTACCAATTTGTAAAGCACAAAGCCGTCCTTTACACCTTTAGGCTATAAGCCGTTGCACGATGACGTCATTCGTGATGGTTCTTGATATGATGATCCCGTTACTGACGTTATCACAACATGCAGATATATATATATATGTATCACGTTTTGTTACTGTATGTAAAAATCGTTAAAATCACACCAACTTGAACCAGAGTACGAGGTCAAAGTCAAAACATTATTAATATATTAGTAATATAAAATTGTTAATTTTGTAGAATACGGCCAAAATTATGATAATATTATTGAAATAAAAACATAGTAATAGTTTTGAATAGTGATTTTAAAAGCATATTTAAAAAAAAAAAAAAAGTATTCTATTTTTTATGGTAATTTGGACCAATCTGGACGTTATTAAAACTATTCTTTGGATTTAAAATTTTTTTTATTCATTTTTGGTTAAAAGTATTCCTTGCACGTTATTAAAACTTTCTTATTTTTGAAATTTATGTTTTTTTCTTCATTGTGGTTAAAAATATTTTTGATTCAAAAGTTTCAAGAACCAACAATTATGCTCAAGATATGTATTTAGAAATTACTTTTCTTAGGTTTTCCTGGTGGAGAACAAAATAAATTTTGTCAATTAAACTGTTGAAGTCAATATATGCTTATTTCGTCAAAATCACTTACTATGTTTGAAAAATAATTTAGTCCATTGATCAACGAGTGGCTGGCAACACGTTACCTTTTCTTTCCTACAAAAGCGTAAAATCTTAAATTCAAAATCTCTTGATTATAAAATTTTATCAATTTTTTGGTAAGTAAAGAAGATGATTGTGCTTGTTGTGCAATCCAAAATATTACCAATAAATTGAATAATTTAATAAAGTATATAATAAATATTAATTAATTGAATACCTTCCCATTAAAAAGCAAATAGTTATGGTTTGATCGTATTTACATTAACGCAAAGAATGAAAAGTTTGAGGTTTCAATAATTAGGTAAATTAAGGAAGACGGTTACTTTTATTATACGTTCCACAATATTCTTCTAATTTTTTAGGTCTTCAAATGAATAAAAAAATATTTATTATATTTTATATCGCTAAATATTATATTTCAAAATGTTATATAAGTAAAAACTATTATATTAATCAAGTGGTGGTTTGATTGGTCTTATCATTTATGTAAAAAGTGAATATATCAAGTTTAAATCTACTCGATCACAATTATTATTATTAATTTGATGATTCAAAAAACGGTCGCTATTCTTATTGTATAGCATGCAATTTTCGTTTAGACACGTTTGGCCTTCAATGGATAAAAATAATAAATAAAAAATATTATAATAATATTTAATCATCATTCAATTGTTAAAATAATTATAAATGATGACCGGATATAGGCTGGTCCTTCCCAAACTGCAATACCTATTACTTCTCTGTTGGATGAAAGTCGGCTGTGGGCCTGTGGTAGTTTTCCTATTTAACTGCTAACTACTAAGAAGACGACAGAAACAACCATTTCTGTCTCTCAATTATCCCGTTTGACGTCATTTTCGTATGAACAGCTTCCATACTGATGTCCCGAACCTCTATATAAAGCAGCCACCTTTCGCATTCATTTTCATTGTGTTCATGCACTAGAACAAGCATTATCTTGGAGTAGTATTTCTTGAATCAAAATTGGAAAGAGATATTAAAACTTATTTTATGGAAGGTGGAGAAAGTTTTGTACCTGGTGGTAGTTTCCGGGGAGCTGATTCTTCTATATGGAGAAGCAGTGCCATGGATGGTTTCTCTAAATCTTCTCGTTCTCAAGAAGAAGAAGACGATGAAGAAGCTCTCAAGTGGGCTGCAATTGAAAGATTACCTACTTATGAGCGTTTAAAGAAAGGGTTATTGACTACATCTAAAGGTGGTGCAAGCGAAATTGATATAGAGAATCTTGGATTTCAAGAAAGAAAATCTTTGGTTAATAGGTTGGTGAATATTGCAGAGGAGGACAATGAAAGATTCTTGTTAAAGCTCAGGAAACGCATTGATAGGTATCAAATTATTATAAACAGGGGAACTCTGTTTTTAACCTTCAAATTCTTGTTTATTTGCGTTGGGTTTTTGTTTCTTGATAGTTGAGTACTGAATTTTGTTATTTTAAATTTAGGGTTGGAATTGAGCTTCCCACCATTGAAGTTCGGTTTGAGCATTTATATATTGGAACAGAAGCTCATGTGGGTGGTAGAGCATTACCCACATTCTTTAATTTCTCTGTTGACATAGTAGAGGTAACTACTTAGCTAATATTAATTATAATATAATATTCTTTGTATCTGATTTTTCTGTTCAATTTTGAAAAGGGTTTCTTGAATTATCTTCATATCCTTCCAAATAAGAAGAAACGCCTTGCTATCCTTCAGGACATTAGTGGAATCATTAAACCAACAAGGTGAAAGTGACAGTCAATTGAATTATTTGTCCATATTTATTACTGAAAAATTTGGAACCTCATTTCTCATTGTTTTCACTAAATATGTTTATTTCAGAATGACATTGCTTTTGGGTCCTCCAAGTTCTGGAAAGACCACTCTTTTATTGGCTTTGGCTGGAAAACTTGATCCTAAATTAAAGGTGACTGTTCGATTATATGCAACTTTATGTTCGCTTTTTGCTTTTTTTTTTTTCTTTATTATTATTATTCTTTTATTAATTTCACTCCTTAGGTTCTTCTCTTATTTGTGAATTTCAATTGTTTTTGCAGTTTTCTGGTAGAGTGACTTACAATGGTCATAGCATGAATGAGTTTGTACCCCAAAGAACAGCTGCTTATATCAGTCAACATGATACCCATATAGCAGAAATGACTGTGAGGGAAACCTTAGCCTTTGCTGCTAGATGTCAAGGGGTGGGACACAGATATGGTTAGTTTAATATTCACTATTAATATAATCTTAAATTTCCAATGTAGTCTAGAAATCTATTTATTATCAAAACATTATTAATCATTAAAACTTTGTTGATTACTTGATTTGCAGAGATGTTGACTGAACTATTAAGAAGAGAGAAAGCATCAAACATTAAACCTGATCCTGATCTTGATGTCTACATGAAGGTAAGAGAAGATATAAGGAGTTGTGGATATTTCATGTTTTGGTATTAAGTGTTTCTATTGGATTTAAAGAATTAATTTGACTTTGCCATTTCTGATATAGGCAATTGCAACAGAAGGTCAAGAGAGTAATGTGATCACAGATTATATTCTTAAGGTAATATAGCCAAGAATTTAATAAAGTACACAGACTAGAAAAATCTAAAAATACCAAAAATTGTTATTCTTTAAAAATTAACCATTGCATAAATGTTCAGATTTTAGGACTAGAAGTTTGTGCAGATATTATGGTGGGGAATCAAATGTTAAGAGGCGTCTCTGGAGGACAAAGGAAGCGTGTTACAACAGGTATGGAACCTAAATTAGGCCCGTCTCAATATTCAATTCCTATCTAGTCATCTGAATTGACCATATGAAAAATTGTAGGCGAGATGCTGGTTGGACCAGCAAAAGCGCTGTTCATGGATGAGATCTCTACTGGTTTGGATAGTTCAACTACTTTCCAGATTGTTAACTCAATCAAGCACTACATTAAAATTCTTAATGGAACAGCTGTCATTTCTCTCCTTCAGCCAGCGCCAGAGACTTATGATCTCTTTGATGACATTATTCTCCTATCTGATGGTGAAATTGTGTATCAGGGTCCTCGTGAACATGTACTTGAATTTTTCGAGTTTATGGGATTCAAGTGCCCCGAAAGAAAAGGAGTGGCAGACTTCTTACAAGAAGTAAGAACAAACAATTGGTGGTTTTAGTTATCTGTGTGTTTCTTGCATGTAATAGAAATCTCATACTCAAGGTTCTTGAGTTTGTAATTCATTGCAGGTGACATCAAAGAAAGATCAGCAACAGTATTGGGCACGAAGAGACGAGCCATACAGTTTTGTCCCAGTTAAGGAATTTGCCGAGGCATTTCAGTCATTCCATGTGGGAAGAAGAATTGAAAATGAGCTTTCTAATCCATTTGATAAGGCAAAGAGCCACCCTGCTGCTTTGACAACAAAAAAATATGGTGTTGGAAAAATGGAGCTTCTTAAAGCTTGCTTCTCGAGAGAGATTTTGCTCATGAAGAGGAACTCATTTGTCTATATCTTCAGGCTTACCCAAGTTAGTATTGACAGTTTGACACTATTGTTTGTTTACCTTACTTCTTTCGCGAAGGCTTCCATATCTGATTATGAATTTGTACTTAAACTAGCTTGCAATAATGGCAACGGTTGGAATGACACTCTTCCTCCGGACCGAGATGCACCGAGATTCAGTAATTGATGGAGGAATCTATGTGGGCGCTTTATTCTATTCTGTGATTTTTATCATGTTTAATGCCATGTCAGACATTTCAATGACCAATTCACAGCTTCCAGTGTTTTATAAGCAAAGAAACCTCCTATTCTATCCTCCATGGGCATTTTCTCTTCCCCCATGGATCACTAAAATACCTATCACACTCATCCAAGTTGCTCTTTGGGTTTGTCTCACCTATTATGTCATCGGATATGATCCCTGTGTTGGAAGGTAATAAAATTTTAGAAACAAGGAAAAAAAATGTCGCCTCCATTTGCTTGTTTTCTTGCAACTGAATATGGTGTACATTGTCCAGGTTCTTTAGGCAGTACCTTCTGCTTGTTCTTGTCAGTCAGATGGCTTCAGCATTGTTTCGATTTATTGCTGCAGCAGGAAGGAGCATGATTGTAGCAAATACATTTGGGTCGTTTGCATTGCTTACACTTTTTGCATTGGGCGGTTTTATATTGTCAAGAGGTACAATTACAAAGTTTCTTAACCTTCCCCTGAAAATTGAAAATTGACCTTTACAATTTACTAACTTTCTGGTCTTTGTTTAATCTCATAGACAACATAAAGAAATGGTGGATATGGGGTTACTGGATATCACCATTGATGTATGGTCAGAATGCAATAGTAGTTAACGAGTTCTTTGGAAAGAGTTGGAGCAAAGTAATCTCTTAAATCCCTTAAACACAATTTCTATGTTTATTTCTTAGTAATCAACTCATATCTGATTTTTATCTTTTTTTTTTTTTAAAGGTTCTTCCAGGCTCAACAGAACCATTGGGAATTCAAGTTTTGAAGTTTAGAGGATTCTTCCCAGATGCGCATTGGTATTGGATCGGAGTAGGGGCATTGGTTGGATTCACACTACTGTACAACTTCTGTTTCACTCTTGCTCTAACATTCCTGGGCCGTGAGTATCTTTATTTACTCCAATTTAAGTTTTCTGAAGCAACATCATATTATTATTATTATTATTATTATTATTATGGTGAAAATTATATCTGCAGCATTGCAGAAGCCTCAAGCTATTGTATCTGAAGATTCTGTAAGCAATGAATCAGAAGGTACAACAGGCAATACTACCGCAGGTAATATAACTCATTCATAACTTGTATTGTTTGGTGCCAGAGTTTATGCTTTGCTCCTTTGAAGCTAATTGAAAATTTTAGTTGACATCCAGAGAGTGGGAGAGGCAATTCATCTGTAAGGACAGAGGTCAAATTTGAAACCAACCATCGGAACAAAAAGGGAATGGTTCTTCCATTTGAACCACATTCCATCACCTTTGAAGATATTAGATATTCTGTTGACATGCCACAGGTAGGATAAGTTATGTAAATTACGTAAAACTGGTAGCGGACTGAGAATTGAAGTTGAATGATTATTTAATTAAATTGCAGGAAATGAAAAATCAGGGCGTGACTGAAGATAGATTGGAGCTATTGAGGGGTGTCAGTGGTGCTTTCAGGCCAGGTGTTTTAACAGCTTTAATGGGTGTTAGTGGTGCTGGTAAAACCACTTTGATGGATGTGCTGGCTGGTAGAAAAACTGGCGGATATATAGAAGGAAACATCACAATATCTGGTTATCCAAAGAAACAAGAAACTTTTGCTAGAATTTCAGGGTATTGTGAACAAAATGATATACATTCTCCACATGTTACTGTCTATGAATCTTTGCTCTACTCAGCTTGGCTTCGCCTGCCTCCTGAAGTGAACAGTGAAACCAGAAAGGTAAACAACTGCACCCAAAATCCCTTTCATGCTTTTCTCTTCAAAAAAAACAAATAAAGAAAGACTACTACTAACTATAGAGCTTCACAACTGAAATTTCTTGGCTATGCTCATCTATAACTCTCTTGATGTTTTTGTAATGAAAATTGTTGCAGATGTTCATTGAGGAAGTCATGAAACTTGTGGAATTGGAGCAATTGAGGCAAGCATTAGTTGGATTGCCTGGTGTAAGTGGCCTATCCACTGAGCAGCGCAAGCGCTTAACTATTGCAGTTGAGCTAGTGGCAAACCCTTCTATAATATTCATGGATGAGCCGACTTCAGGGCTAGATGCAAGAGCTGCTGCAATTGTTATGAGAACAGTTAGGAACACTGTGGACACTGGAAGAACAGTTGTATGCACAATCCATCAGCCAAGCATCGACATATTTGAAGCTTTTGATGAGGTGAGAAATGTCAGCATATCACAATGGATAATTCCTTATTGTCAAGTTCTTCACCTTACAGGTGTTTGACATAATTTGGTTTGATGCTACAGCTATTTCTAATGAAGCGAGGAGGTCAAGAGATATACGTGGGGCCATTAGGCCATCATTCTTCCCAGCTAATAAAGTACTTTGAGGTATGAAATAATGGGTAATCAAGAAACAAGAACAATATATCTCTCACTCTCTCTACCCATTTTAACTTAGGCTTATTCATTTACTTTCTTTTATCAAGGGAATTGAAGGAGTCCCTAACATCAAGCATGGGTACAATCCAGCAACTTGGATGTTAGAAGTTAGCAGTCCAGCTCAAGAAATGGTTTTGGGAGTAGATTTTGCTGCTGTTTACAAAAATTCAGCATTATATAAGTAATTTTACATATAAACCTGTTTTGACAGTGGATAATAACAATTTAGAAATGAAGCGTGTCAACTTGTTATATAACTGTGTCCATGTCTTGCAGGAGAAACAAAGCACTTATTGCGGGATTAAGCACGCCTGCTCCCGATTCAAAGAACCTGTATTTTCCTACACAGTATTCCCAGTCATTTTTCACCCAATGTATAGCTTGTCTGTGGAAGCAACACTTGTCATACTGGCGAAATCCGTCATACACTGCTGTGAGATTTCTCTTCACAACTGTCATAGCTTTGATGTTCGGAGCAATGTTCTGGAAACTTGGGTCCAACATGTAAGTTACAACTGGAGAAAATAACAGACCAAAAGAATAAGAAGGTTCAAATTCTAATTTTAATAATATCATCTTGAATTATAGGACAAAGAGACAAGATCTTTTCAATGCAATGGGATCAATGTATGCAGCAATTATCTTTCTTGGAGTCCAAAATGCTTCATCTGTGCAGCCAGTAGTTGCCGTTGAAAGAACTGTTTTCTATAGAGAGAAAGCTGCTGGAATGTATTCCGCTTTTCCCTATGCCTTTGCACAGGTAAAATCAACAAGTTTTCAAATTCTATTAACTTTACATGGTTAACTATCAAAAAAAAAAAAAAAAAAAAAAAAAAAGAGATAAGGACTATGAACAGTTCAAATTAAGAATATAGGTGAAGTTAACATGTCTTAAATTATATTTTCACTAATACTCACTAACATTGAATCTCTCATATTCTTTAGGAGCAAGAGACGCTAGCAGAGATACCCTTGCTTATCAATTACTATAGCACATCCATGGTGGCATTGAGGATATGTAGCTCAATCGCATGCTAGCTAAGGATTTAGTCTCTTGGAGTCCAATTGCTTCATCTGTAGCATGCCAGTACGTGTAGTGCCAGAGTTGAAAGAACTAGTATATATGTCTAGTTATGAGAGTAGAGCTAGGCGGAATGTTAGGGTTCCAGTTCTTTCCTCCTTATGTCCTTCACAGGCTCATATATTAACATACGTTTTGTATTCATATATATTATCCTCCGTGAAAGTAACTTGATAACAAGTGCTGATTATGACTCACTCAAGATAATAAAAATACACAAAGGAACTACAATAGGAATATCAATTAGAACAATTATAGCAATTGGTAGCATTATATAATTCTCTTGTTCACACTTTTATCTCTACTATATGCATTTCTCTCATTAATTTGGTGTAGTTGGTTTGCAGATCTAGAGATTATAGAACAATTATCCATTCATATGTTGGTATCATCCAACATATGGTACACCACTGCGTCCTTCATTGTCGCTACTCGCAATGCACTTCGGCCGACTTGAAATGGAACTCTTGACTGTTACAAGATTCTATGTTCTCATGGATATATACCGTATATTCTTGTCTGATGGGTACATCTCACTATTTTGAGGTTTGGCATGAGGAGTAACTGGTTTCTCACAATTCACCAGTGTCCGTACCGAAGTGGTTTCCTGAACTGTGTATCTCCATAATCATATGTGGCAAGTGGCTACGTGTGCCTCTCTTGGTTACGACTCACTAGCAGCCCTAGAAAATGTCGTGCAACACCTCATGCCATGAATATTTAGTAACGAGAAGGGTTGAGAGCTACAGAATATCTTATCAGCCGAACCGCCAAATACTAGGTTCTCATGATGGGGGTAATTTCTTCATGTTTGAGTCCTACGAGGATGGATATGGTCCATCTTCATATAACAACCAAGGCATATCACCTCATTGCCGAGGCCTCATCTGGTACATGCTCCACGACCTTCATACCAGTCAATCTTATTGTTTAAGTTCCCTAATAGTTATTCTATACTCGCACATCCATTTGTATTGCATCACTTAGTGTAATCACATATTCTGTATTGACCGTTATTATAATCGGTGATCTGGGAACTATGGCATGTATGTGAAAGTCTCATCCATGGGTGTGAGTGAGTATGCACTCGAGTAATGCATGGGCATGTGAAAGTGTGCATAAAGCCACAATCTCTAATGGATTTAGTTATGCTAGTTGCCTCGTACCAAGTTCTCGCTGTTCACGCTTCTATTTTGAATGCATTGAGAGTATCTCTCTGACGTCTAGTTTGTTGATAAGAGAAACGCCGATGTAGAAAAAAAGAAGGTTGGTTTTTATTGGGGGAGGCGCCTAATGTTATGATGTTCTTTTAAAATGTTCTATGGTAAGGCTGTCATACTGTGATCACTGGCAGTGTGCAGCTGGCCAGTTGTTGGCTTGCGACACTCTTTGGCTATTGTACCTGTTTTGCCAATTTTCATTTCAGGTGATTCCCGTGCAATTACCCAAAGGCGATTTACAAAGAGAAGACACTCTCACGGTTTCGATATATATTAATGTTAGTCAGTGAGTGGAGGGCTTAGCATATCGGATCTTCATCACCGTAACCTAGGGTAAAAAAAAAAAAAAAAAAAAAAAAAAAAACTTTACATGGTTAATTTTTTTAACTTTATTTCTTTTTTAAATTTGTTTTTGGTTGCAGGTCTGGATTGAACTTCCCTATATTTTCTTCCAAGCTATGGTATATGGTCTTATTGTGTATGCAATGATTGGATTTGAATGGACTGCTGTTAAGTTCTTTTGGTACCTATTCTTCATGTACTTCACATTATTGTACTACACCTTCTATGGGATGATGTCTGTGGCTGTAACACCAAATCAACATGTTGCAGCAATAGTTTCCACCGCATTCTATTCTCTGTGGAATCTATTTTCAGGATTCATAATTCCTCGACCTGTAAGTCCGAACCCACAATTCTTCTAGTTCCATGTTTCTTTACTCCTCCATTTGATTGATATTGTGATATCATAATTTTCTTTCCTTTAATCGTTCTGACTATGGCAGAGGATTCCTGTGTGGTGGAGATGGTATGCATGGGCATGTCCAGTGGCATACACATTATATGGTTTAGTTTCCTCACAGTTCGGCGACATTAAGCATAAGCTCGAGTCAGGTGAAACAGTAGAAGATTTTGTTAGGAGCTATTTTGATTTCAAGCATGAGCTGCTTGGAGCAGTTGCAGCTGCAGTTGTTGGCTTTGCGACACTCTTTGCATTTACTTTTGCCATTTCTATCAGGTTCCTCAATTACCAAAGGCGATAAAAAAACCTCTCACTTTGTATTTAGTTTAGTATAAGTTAGTATCCTGAATGTTATGTGACAGTTTTAAACAACAATCTGTTCATGTTCTTTTTGGTATTACGATTCAAGTACTTCAAAACTTAATTTCCTGTTCCTCATAACCTTCTCCTGCATCTTACTATAAACCAACAACGCAGACTCCACTCGAGATAATATAAAGATGGTTGTTCTCTTTTTCATCGGTATCTTGTCTTTGCGGCTATTGTCAATAATTTCATTATATTTTTGCAGTTTTTGATTGTAATATTGTAAAAATACAAAATGTTTTGTTCTTCGTTTTTTATGCTTCAATTGGGTTATGCTTTTCTGGTTGTTTTCGCTTTGGTTATTATAATTTCAAAGAAATCACTTTTTACGTTTCATAAAAATAAAGCCTCAAGTAGATTCACTCATCTGAACACGATCGCCGATCATTAAGCTATATCAAGTCGAATGTTTCATCTTTTGAGAATGAATATTTAACAGAAAATCAAGACCTTGACATGAAATTTTTGTTCCTTTTGTTTTTTCTTGGCACAAACAAGTTAAAGTTAATGTTTATTAACAAATGGGTCATTAAATATGTTGGATTAATTCACTTTTTTTTTAATTTTTTTAGTCTTTTTTATAAGTTTATTTTGCCTTTTTTTTTAAAAAAAATTTGTGAATAGAGTTTAGATAATTTATATTAGGGTTTTTATTTTTATTTTTTTCTTTTCTCATTAATTTAACGGTAAAATCCTTCAAAAATGATGAAAGGAGGCGAAACTCTTTGACTCTGGCTAAATAAGTCTAATTCAAATATTTTTATTATATATATACATTTCCATCTAAAGATGGTTTTACTTTATCTAAAATAATTTGGTGCGCTTAATGTGCATTAGATCCGATATTTAGTCACAAAAATTAGGTCGTGGAATTTTCACTTTGGAGAAGGCTTTTCAAGCTTGAGGAAGATTAATCTTCCATACATTATGTTGTTTCGAAATTAATAAAAATCAATTTGGCCCCTAAACATATTTAAAAAAAATTAAAACTATCAAAATTGAATATGTTTAGTAAAGTTAAAAAAAAAAATCAAATTTGAATATATTTAACATACTTCATGTATTATTTTTTGATTTTCATATAGAATTAATTTTTTAATAAATAATACCGCGGAATCACAATTATATTTTTTTTGTAAATGTTTGCATAAGGATTCTGACATTGTAATCACAATAAAAAAAATTTTAATGACTAAATTGGCCGAATATGTTAAATAAAATGTAAATAAATTTAGAATGTTAAATTGATTAAAAAGATCAAAATCAAACATTTTAATCTCTCTAAACAAGTTCAGGGGCCAACTTGGAGCCCTTTTATTAAATTAAATTTATAATTTTATTAAATTGAGACCTTTCAATATAAATGATACTAATGTTTTTATTCATACAAAGTTGTTGTTGTTTTTATTATTATAATTATCATTTTTGTTAAATTTGTTGAATAAATACTCATCTATATAAATCTTTTTCCAAAATAAATATCTCCAAATTAATCACATTATCTGCTTAATTAACATTTTACCTACTCCAAGTTAATAGACTAACTCACTCATACACTAAATTAATTAAAAAAAAAATTCAAATGAAAATATTCATAGCAAAGAAAATAAAAATTGGAATATAGAGTCTATGCAACAGGAACATATGGACAGCGGAAAGGCGGGTGTGGACCAAATCACTCATGCCTAAACTAATAAAAAAAAAGTTAATTCAAATGAGAATATTCACTAAGAAAAAAAAAAAAAAATCAGGATACGTATTATTGTGGTGGAGTATATGCAGCCGGAGCATGTGGACAGTGGAAAGGTCGGTCCCTGGTATGAATGCGAATGATAAAGCTTAAAGCACATATAAAATATTTTTCACATGGAACGGCGGTCTCCTTCATACTTTTGCGAGCATTTATGAGCTCCGACTGATTATAAGTAGCAGAAAAGAAAGATAACGTTGCACCACCACCACAAGCAAACAAATTCAGAGAGACAACATAATTTGAGAGAGAGAGAGAGATGGCTTTGTCTTTGGCTTTGCCTAGGTTCGTTGCTCTCAGAACAAGATATGAAACTGAAGGGCAAGCTGTCACTAAATATGTTCGCTTCCTACACGAAGATGGGGATTTACATGGCTTCCTTCGCGCCGATGGAGATGAGATTGTGACTCCATACACAAAGTTTGAACTGGAGAAGGCAGAAAGTGGAGATGACTCATATCACATAAGAAACTGTTACAACAACAAGTATTTAGTAATAAAGGAAGGAACAATGTGGTATATTGGTGGAGCTGACGAACCAGAGGAAGACGCATCTAAGAGCAACTGCACAGTGTTCTTTATAAGAGCACTTGTCGGTTCTAATAACTACATAATCAGGCCAGCAAATTTGCCTCATTTTTTTCTGCATCGGGCTACTGTCTCTACTGTATTCGACCACCGAATGCTAAATTGCTTACACCGTTTCAATGGTGCTAGTACGTCGTACGAGATCATAGATTTTGACTCCATCATAGTATTGCCTAAATATATCACCTTGCCAAATCCTGGTGAAGGCCTGTATCTCAGTTCTCGTTCTCTCAGCGGACGACAATTCCTCCAGTTTGGATCTGACGACTATCTTGATACGACAACATGGTTCGAGACATTCACAACAAATGATGGCGGCGCACGAATCATGTGCAAATCCTCTAACCGATTCTGGAGGAAAGACAGCACATGGGTATTTGCTGATAGTAGTAACAGCACTGGAGAAGACACATTGTTTTGGCCTGTTAAGACTGAAGGCAATGCCATTGCCCTTAGAGCTTGGCATAACATGTACTGTCATAGGCATACAGCTAATGGCATGGCCGACTGCCTTGCTCTTACGGCTAATAGCATTTCAACCAACTCGCTGCTTCATATAGAAGAGGCTGTTCGTAGTAGGGAAATATATAATGTTAGTTTTCGAACACTCGATGGTAGGATCTATGACTTCTCGAAACCGCTTATAGTAACCCAAGATGTGGATAACTGGTCGCAACAATCCACACAAGATGGAGAATTGCGTTTCACATACACCGAAACCAAGAGTAGCAGATGGGATCACTTGGAGTCGTGGATGGTGGAAGCGTCTATGAGTTTATCATCAAAAATTCCATTTTTGGTTCAAACAACAATTTCGATCGGTGCGGGCTATGAGGGAAGTTACACATGGGGAGAAACTGAAGAAACATCAAAAGAAATAAGCACAAATTTAAGGGTAGAAGTTCCGCCCATGACCAGGACTCGCGTTACTATGATAGTATCAAAGGGCGCCATTGATGTCCCTTTCTCCTACACTCAGCGCGACACTCTTTACGATTATTCAACGGCTCTCACTCAAAAGCATGATGGCATTTTTACTGGTGTCACTACCTATGTCAAGTACGACATCGCTGAAGAGAGTCTTATTGCTCCAAAACAGTCTATCGCTGAAGAGAGTCTTCTTGCTCCAAAACAGTCCATCACTGAAGAGAGTCTTATTGCTCCAAAACAGTCTATCGCTGAAGAGAGTCTTCTTGCTCCAAAACAGTCCATCACTGAAGAGAGTCTTATTGCTCCAAAACAGTCTATCGCTGAAGAGAGTCTTCTTGCTCCAAAACAGTCCATCACTGAAGAGAGTCTTATTGCTCCAAAACAGTCTATCGCTGAAGAGAGTCTTCTTGCTCCAAAACAGTCCATCACTGAAGAGAGTCTTATTGCTCCAAACTGAAGAGAGTCTTATTGCTCCAAAACAGTCTATCGCTGAAGAGAGTCTTCTTGCTCCAAAACAGTCCATCACTGAAGAGAGTCTTATTGCTCCAAAACAGTCTATCGCTGAAGAGAGTCTTCTTGCTCCAAAACAGTCCATCACTGAAGAGAGTCTTATTGCTCCAAAACAGTCTATCGCTGAAGAGAGTCTTCTTGCTCCAAAACAGTCCATCACTGAAGAGAGTCTTATTGCTCCAAAACAGTCTATCGCTGAAGAGAGTCTTGTTGCTCCAAAAACAGAAGGGACTGTGTCTGTGTCTGCGTAGCCATTGCAATGCAAGTCTCCAAGCTAGTTTATTATTATAATAAAGGCCCACTCTTGCTGTGGCCATCTGGCTGAAAATGAGACTTCTTTGCTACAAGCTTGGTTTATATATGTGTTAGAGCATTTATTGTAATTTGTTTGGATATTCTGGAGGATTACCGGTTTATCTTATTCTGATTAATGAATCTATATATTGCTTTTAGCTTGCATTTTAATGGCCTTTTATATAATTGGTGTCGGTAAGTATTATCGAACCGTTAAAAAGTAGAGCATAAAGGTGTATTAGCATTTAATTAAAATAAAAAAAATATTAATTCAAGCATTTAATTGACAAAAAAATGATGTTAAATTAATGGTATTAAATCTAGTATTTGTTTCTGGTAAAAAATGAACTGACATCCAGAAAGTTAGAGATTCAGTACATCCTCGTCTGTAAGAGACAGAAATTACCAGTGAAAGTGGGTATCAGAAGAAAAAAGGAATGGTTCTTCCATTTGAACCTCATTCTATCATATTTAGTGATATCAAGTATTCTGTTGACATGTCACAGGTATGATCATAAGTTCAGTAAACGAGAAATTAACCTGTAGCTTGGAAAATGTTCTTAGGACAAGAGTTTTAAGTAATTATCAATTGCACAAATATTGCAGGAAATGAAAAATCAGGGTGTGCCTGAAGATAGATTGGAGCTATTAAGGGGTGTGAATGGTGCTTTCAGGCCAGGTGTTCTAACAGCCGTAATGGGAGTTAGTGGTGCTGGTAAAACTACTTTGTGGATGTGCTGGCTGGTAGAAAAACTGGCAGATATATAGAAGGAAACATAACAATCTCTGGTTACCCAAAGAAACAAGAAACTTTTGCTAGAATTTCAGGATATTGTGATCAAAATGACATGCATTCTCCACATGTTACTGTCTATGAATCTCTGCTCTACTCAGCTTGGCTTCGCCAGTCTCCTGAAGTGAACAATGAAACCAGAAAGGTAGGCAACTGCACTGAAAATCCGCCCTTCGGGCTTCTTTTCTCTTAAAAAGAAAATTCCTACTCACAAAATTGACAATTTAAAAATTGTCTGAGTGGAATTTCTTGGCCATGCTCATATATAACTCTATTCATATTTTCTTGCAGATGTTCGTTGAGGAAGTCATGCAGCTCGTGGAATTGGCGCTACTGGGGCAAGCATTAGTTGGATTGCCCAGTGTAAGTGGCCTGTCCACCGAGCAGCGCAAGCGCTCAACTATTAATAATATTCCAGTATCGCCTTTTAAACAATCCTGTCTTAAATTACAGGAAGAAACAACAAGATCTTTTCAATGCAATGAGATCAATCTATGCTGCAAAATTATTTTCCTTGGGGCCAAAATGCTTCATCCGTACAGCCAGCAGTTGCTGTCGAAAGAACTGTTTTCTATAGAGAGAGAGAGAGAGCTGCAGAAATGTATTCCCCTTTGCCTACGCCTTTGCACAGATAACATTAACAAAGACAATTTTCAACATTACAAAAATGAAAATCTATAAACAAAGACAATTTCTTTTTGGTTGCAGGTCTTGATTGAACTTCTATACCTCTTCTTTCCTTCCTCTGCTTTATCTGTAACAGAGAATTCCTATCCGGTGGAGATGGTATGCATGGGCATGTCCATACACATTGTATGGGCTAGTTTTGTTACAGTTCGGTGACATTAAGCATGAGATCAAATCAGGTGAACCGGTGGAAGATTTTGTGAGAAGTTACTTTCATTTCATAATAGAATCCTCAAAGTAATTTCCTATTATTATGTTAAAAAACAAATATGTATAATTTTTGTGTACATGAGAAATCTTTTTCATTGCCAAGAGCTGAACTAGCAAGGGTTGCTCAAAAATAGAAAGGTCCAATTAGGAAAGGAATGGAAAACGAGAGGCATTTCAGCCAATCCAAACAATTAACTCCAAATAATATCTAATTTTAATACAGAAGGGAATAAATAAAACCAAAAATTATGAAAAAAAAAATGAAATGAAAGATCAGATATTTGAGCTAGAATGATAAAGCTCATTAGGTCACTCAACAAACAAAGTTAAACCACTACCAGTACTAGATCCAACCAGATCCGAACCAAATAGAAGCAAATGCCAGAACCAAAGCCCTAAATCTTACCAACCCTTTACGCAGAGCCACAGGAGCAGCAGAATCTGTAGAAGTCTTGTTAGCAGAAACACTAGAAGATGGTGGTGAAGGCAATGGGTGAACAAGAACAGAAACCTTCATACCATTAAAGCACTGCCCATTACCACAGATGAAGTAGTACCTCTTGGCCTTATTGAGAGGTATAAAATCTTTACCTTTACTCCAATTTCCTACCGCTCCTTCTGTTGTGCAGTTGTCATATCCAGTCTGGTTCACTTCAAACACATTGTACTGGCTCTTTTGATACCTAAAAGCTGCAATAACAATGCATATATATAGATAGACATATAACTCAAATAGACCCAAAATTCAAATCTTTCAAGAAAATAAAAACTTTAATTAACCAATTAACGTTTTAATGATTTAAGCACATAATGGAAGATTGAAAGAGAAAAAGAGAGAATTTTACATATTAGGTCACCAACATAGAAGGTCTGGTTGTTGGCCCAAAGAGTGTAGTTGATGCCAGGATTCCAGCCTTTGTTAGCACCAACAATATGGTCAGTGGCGATGGTTGCAGTGGCGGAGATGAGGATGAAGAAGTACAAGAAGATGAGATGAGATGAGCTGGGCACCATTGTTGTAGTGGGCGGTGATTGGGAAGCAAGTTGTTTTGTATTGTTTTTGCTTCTTTTTTCTACTTTTAAGTTTTAACTTTCTTGACTGGACTTAGACAGTTAGAGTTGGGAAAATGTATTGTAAGGATAAACCATTGGCCATCTAATCCCAAGAATATTTGAAAGAGTGGTGGTGGTCCAGAAATAATTACAGACAATAAGATCCACTCTAGCATGGCCATCGAGTATTTTTTTTTTTAAATATATATATATAAAATAGCAAGTTGAACTACTTTATGATATCAATTGTCTTAACAGAAATAATTGATTGCGTATATGATTTTTTCGTTTTCACGTCCCACTTGCTTTGGGAGACAAAGGGGCTGGACCTAAGCCAAGCCATGTTGATCAACTACTGAGTTACCCATTCAAGTTAGATTGAATATATGATTAAGAATTTGAATTCTATTTCACTTTTTTTTTTTGGTAAAATTATAATTCTTTTGGTAATCTGTTAGAAATCCAAGACTCCAAGGGCCTAGTGAATTAAACTAATAAAAGTGAAATTAAAAAATCTAAAAAAAAAAAATGTTCCATCACTTTCTTTCTTTCTTTACAAAAAACCATTTCTTTTTGAATATTTTCCATCCCCAATTTTCTTTTCTCTATTATTATTATTATTTTTAACTATGCCTCTAATAGTCTGAGTTTCATTTTTATCTTAGAAACAAAATATAATTTGGTTATATATTTCCTGGAAAAAGGAAATAATCAATGTACTCTGAATTTCTTAAAAATATAATATTGATTTAACTAAATTATGAGATTGATGGAATTTGAACCTTGATCATGCTCTTAATAATTTCAGACATTTCCAATTAAAAAAGAAACAATAATCTCTAATTGAAAATAATAAAACAACATGGAGTTCTGAAAAAAAAATGCATTTTGATTGTTAAAATAAAATGCATTCCATAAAAAGATGATAATAAGGATGCAATTTCTTGCTGCTTTCCTCTTTCTGAAATGTGTTAGACACCTTTCTTTTTCAGATAGCCAACCTTTTAAGGTGGGTAACCTTTTGCCATTTCTTCCGGTAAAGTTAAATCCTTTCGAAAAATTAAATAAGGGTATTCAACCAAACATGTCCCACTCCTTGAACTCCTTGAAGGGAAGAAATGTAAGGAGTAGGAAACAGAGTCTGCCCTGCCCCAGTGCCCCTACCACATGATCAATGATGTGAAAGTCCATAAAAAATAATATGAATGACCAAATAACTTTATTTTGTGGTCTATTATCTCCCAAATAATTTCCTTTTAAATTCACCCCTTCCCCAAAATCACAGTTGATCCAATGAGGAAGAAGGGGGGACCTGAAGTATGAACAACCCCACAATAATTCAATGCTAAGAAATAGATTTTAGATTTCACACCAACTCATATGAGGAAAACTTTTCATTGATAGCGATTCAGTATGCTTATGCTATTCGTATGCAATATATAAAAGCAAGGATAATAATTCAGATGACTTCTGCAGAAAATGTTATGCAGGGTAGCTATTACTATTGAATGGAATAGTTTTACTCCATATGTTTGCACAAGAATCATAAAGGGAATGAAATGGATTCTGGGGAAAGGAATGCAAGGAAAAAAGAACACGCTAATGCCATGTTAAGATATACTGTTTCTCTATGCTGCAAGTTATTGAATGAATGCTCTGTTTTTTCCCTCTTCCCTTTCTAATCCCTGGCAATTCCATAGATTTCTGTATATCTTATTGCTGCAGAAATTCTTTCCAACCCTCATAGCCTCAAATTAATGAATCATCTTTTTTTTTTCTCTCCCTCTTTTTTTTAGTACTGCAATTTCACGATCAATGCTGCGGCTCGCTTGCTTCCACCGCATTCCTTGCAAGAAAGCCGCATTACCTCGAAGTCCAAATGCTGTCTTGCATCTATGAAATTGAGAATAAGCAAATGTGGCAATTCGGAATGAACAATAGAATGAAAGAATAGAATGTAGCAATTACTAACTGAACAATACGATGGAAGAAAGGAAGGAATATGAGGAGCTAAAAAACAATTTAACATTGGGTGCTGGTCAGTGGTCACCACTCAACACCATCACAGCGTGAAGCAAGAGAACTATTGAATACCGATTAAGTCTAGCTAAAATGCAAAGAATGGTAGGACAAGTCTAAATGCATTCGACACAACATTGGTAGGTCTACCAAGGTACATGCTAGAATCAAATGACACATAAGACCACTTTATAAGGAAATTTGGAAAAACCTTCAGTATTCTAGTTGTATTCTAAAAATAAATATCATAAGCATATTCCAAGGGTCAGATGCATATTTTTTTTTATAATTAATTTGCGATGGCAGCGGCAAGATGTTGTGGAAGTACCTTAGATCAGAAATATTCAATAATAGGTCAGCAAGCAGATGGTTGGGAATAAGCCAGCTGATGCTGTAAATATCTCTGCAGTTTAATCTTCCAGTCTTTAGTTATTCTTTCAAAACCTGCGTATACCTGCTGATTTAACATTAATAAAATGAGAGACTCCTATCTGCAGTTGCTCAAATTTGTATTTTCAATCAGATATTCAAATTAGACTACTTTTTTTCTGTGGTTTTGTGGGTTTTTCCTCTAACCAACTTCTTTCCCTTATGACTTACATCTTGATCTCTCCTAACTTGTCTCACCCACTTTTTTCCTTTGCATTTCTGAGCTTTTGTTGGTTTCAAGATCTTCTGAAGCTTTGGATCATCTGAAAACCCATTTGACTTCATGTCAGCATAATATTCCTGGGCCTTGGTTAACAGTCCATACCTAGCTAACCCTTCCACCAAAACTCTGTAATGTGTCGCATTAGGTGTCACTTCATATTGCTTCATTTCTACCCAAATTTTCAATGCATTATCAGGTTGCTCTAGCTTGAAGAACTTAACAAGAATTAAGAGAAAGGTATCCTTGGTGGGAGCTAAACCAGATATTATCATTTGGTCAAGGATTTCCAAAGTTTCTTCAAAACCAGTACCTTGAAGGACTGCATGGTAGGTCTCCATAGTAGGGCAGATATTCTCCTCTACCATCATAGCCAATATGTTTCTTGCCTCTGCTAACCTTTGTCTCTCGCATAGGGAATGTATAATTGAGTTGAAAGTAGTAGAATCAGGCTGCAATCCATGTTCTTTCATTTTCTCTACGACCTTAAGAGCTGCTTCAAAGCAGTTCTCATGAGTCAGTACATAAATCAAACAATTATATACCACAATGCCAGGGACAAACCCTCTTTTCTTCATTTCATCATAAAGTCTCAGTGAGTCAAAAAGATTCCCAACCTTTGAGAAGCAGGTTATCATGTGTGTATAAGAAGTTGAATCTGGTGTAATACAACATTTTGACATTTCCCTCCAAACTCTCTTTGCTTCAAGCACATCAACACATATATTACACCATCCATTAAGAATAATGTTAAATCCCTCAGTCCCCAACGGAAAGAGCTTCTTATTAATGAGCATAAACTCTTCAGCCTCTTCAATGTTTCCATGTTTACAAAGAGCATTCAAGAGAGTGTAGAATGCTTCTTCATCAGGAGCCAATCTGAACTTTTCCATAACATCGAATGCCTCAATAGCTTTGCCTGGGCAATTTGCTGCCGCATATCTAGCAAAACCCCAGAAAAAGTATGAAATAATGCTGCTCATACACTCTCAAGAAAGAAGTTAGTAACTTTTGTTAAAGTTCTAATAATAGCTGCATTCAAATTACAGAAACCCGTTGCTCCTCCAGAACTTGCAAAGTGATACCAAAGTTAACATTTTTTTTTATTCTATTGTTCCCCAAAGAAATACAAAGTCATGTTTCTTCTCATTTAGCATCTATATAGAAAACTAGAAAGCATTAGTTTTTGTAAAGGGGCAATATGAATAAAAATTTTAACATGTAAATTGCATAATTAATTCTGCGTTCATTAACAAAAATAATAATGCATTGCATTAAATCAAACTTAGAAAATGAAAAAAAAAGAAAAAAAAAAAAAAAAAAATATATAGAAAAACTAGAAAGCATTTAGTTTTTGTAAAAGGGGCAATATGAATAAAAATTTTAACATGTATTGCATAATTAATTCTGCGTTTATTAGACAAAAATAATGCACTTGCAATTTAATCAAACTTAGAAAATGAAAAAAAAAAGAACAAAAAAAAAAAAAGGAAGGAACGGAAGAAAAAAAAAAAAAAAAAAAAAAAAAAAAAAGGAAGAACGGAAGATTACCTATCAATCATAACAAGCATAGCCTGCCTAGGGTTCATCAAAGACCGATACAAATCTCGAATCAAAATCCACGCAATATTGAATTTTTTATGACTACCCAAAACCCATACCATCAACTCACAACATTTTTCATCAACACATCCCCATTTTTGTCCCCATTTGTAAGCCAAATACGCCTGTCTCCACTCTTCTCTTAGGTTCCAAATCAACGAATAAACCAAATTTTGATTCGCTGTAATGCCTGATTCATCAACGAATGCCACAGCCTCTGCTTCTGTAGGAGAATGGGCAGCCCGTTTGAGTGAATCGAGAAGGGAAGGTTCGAGAGCTTCATTGACATGAATTCTTTGCTGAATAAGATCAAATGGCTCTTTGAAATTCTGGGTGGGAAAATATTGTGAAGTAGAGAAACGGAGAGAGTTTGAATCGGGTATTGAAACTGTTCGATGAAATGCCGCTAAGAAAAACGATTTCAAAGGTAGACGAGAGGGAGAAGAAGGGGAAGCTATGGATTGGAAAAGTGGAAGAACATGTATGGGATAAGACCTCTGTAGCCTTCTTGCAATGGTAATGAGTAACATGAGAATCTTGCAAAGATGAGAAGCAGCAGTTCTTTGGTTCGAAAATTTGAAACTGTATGCATATTTATACAGCTCCCCAGATAAAAAAAAAAAAAAACAGGACGCAACTTCTTTTGATTTTGACCCATTAAAACGTCATGTCGTGCACTGACTTTCTTGCTAAGAAGCACACGTGATAGTTTTTGCAAACGTTGTCATCTAGCATGGTGTCGTTCAAAGAGATCTCATGTAACAAACTTTCTACACCGGTCTGTCGTTTTTGTAATTTTCTTTTGCATTTGGTACAACCGTCAACAAAGGTCTCATTTGGTTCAAACTGAGCTACTTATTGGGAAACACTTTTTAGCAAATTATTTCTTTAGAAATATGGTTTCAACTCGCTACATGCATGTGCAATAATTCAAAAAAAAATTAATTTTTTATATCTAATTTAAATTTTTATGTCTCACTTTTTTATTAAAATATTTTTTTAATGTTTATATAATTTATTTATAGATAAATAATTTTGAAATTTCCAATGTTCAAATTTAATTTATGAATCGTTACATATTTTATAAATTGTAATTATGATATTTAAAAAAATATGATAATAATGTTACAGAATAAAAGATTCATTTAAAGCTATCTATTTATACAGTCAAATAAATAATTTATGGTTTTGAAATGGCCAATTCATTTAGTAGAGAAATATGATAAAATGTTAATCATTTATTCAGTTAATAAATCAAATGATCATTATTTCTTACTATATTATTGTTTATTATGTCTATAATATTTATATTTTTATATTTATTTACAAATTAATTTCAATCAATAGAAAATTAGAATAAAATAATTAATATATCATGTTTACAAATTTTTAAAGCATTTTAAAATTCTTGGAATCTCATGTGGCATAACCTAACTATTCTAATCCTATTCTTTAAGAACCTTTGATGTAAGTATTGGCTTCATTTTGGATATGTAATTTAAATTCAGAAAGTAATTAAGTGATTACAAGATAACAATATGCAAATAATTAAGAGGAGAATGAATGGCAACAGAAAAGTTGCTGATGGAATACTGAAATAAAAGCAGCAGTAAATGGAATGCTAAGCTGCATGATTGACACCAAATTCCAACAGAAATGATCATGGCATCAATGAGTTATATTTGTAGCACTAACTATATGAATTACAAATTGGTATATTGTAAGAAATTGGTTACAAAATCCTATGAAACTAAAACATAGGCAGCTAGTTAGCAGGCTCCAGTTACTTCTTTGATCAATTGCTCAACTCCCAGATAGCAAATCTTGCGCCAGTGCCATTGACAGTAACAAGGACTTGACTGAAAAATGAATGACTGTGGGGTGGTTGAGATTGTAGGTTACTGCTTCACCTTGTGTAAATGAACATCTTCGTCAATCACAGTAGAGACTGGAGCACTACAAAACTCCTGGCTATCACACTCTTCCTCATCATCCGATGACAATGAAGAAGAAGACGTAGAAGAGCCCTCTTCAGATGTGAAAGTACTTGACTCTTCATAAGAAGTCAAAGTACAAACTTCATTATCAGGATTATTAGACAAGCTAGAACCCCTTTCATCCAAAACTTCCCCAGATTGGCTGCGTATTGTTTCATCAAATTCTGATACAAAAGGATGATTCAATAGCATCTCAGCAGTAAATCGAAACATAGGATTCTTAACCAAACAAGCTTTCAAGAAATCCTTACCAGCTTTTGAAATCTCATTAGGAATTTCAGGCAATTCATATCTATCAGCAATTTTCTGAATAATTTCATCAGTTCCCATATTACCTTTTGAATCCCATACTTTCTTTCCAGTAAACATCTCAAGAACTATACAACCAAGAGCCCAAATATCAGAAGAAGCCTCCTGAATGTTATCCGTCAGGGTCTCTGGTGCCATATACGGGGCAGTCCCTCCTATACCATAATCAAATTTCCTCCTCTTGTTCCTTTGACATTTTCTAGACAACCCGAAATCCCCTATTTTAGGCACAAAGTCACTGCTTTCAGAAGAAACAAGCAACACATTATCAGGCTTCAAGTCACAATGCACATAACTATTTCTATGAATATAATCAATTCCTTTGAGAATACACTTTGTGTATCTCTTCACTATAGGTTCAGCCAATCGACCACCGTCTGATCCCTTTATAAGAGAAGATAGGGTTCCTCCAGAAGCATATTCCAATAAGAGATTATAAATCATCTCTCCACTAGAGGCAGTAGTAGTTTCTTCCCCATAACACTTGAGAACGTAAGGAGAATCGCAAAGATCATCAAAAACCTGTTTTTCCTTCTGAAGCGAATTTGAAACAGAAAACTCTGCACATTTGACCGCCATTAACTGTGGATAAAGACTGGTTCTTGACTTGGATTTCTTCAATTCCGCCAAATATACACAGCCGAATCCTCCTCTCCCTAACAATGGCCCTCGCTGCCACAACACTCCACCTTCTTCACAATCATAAACTGCTTTCCTCTTCATGATCGCTAGTCGCTTGTCAAATACGCTGACAAGTGACAACTGAAAACACTTACCTAAATTGAAGACAGCAAATCTATATATGTATCCTGAGGCAAAAAAAATAAAAGTTTCACAAAGCGGCACCGGCACTATCCCCTTCCAGAATTTCTTTCTATTTATTTTACAAAGTTTCTTAATTTTAAATTTTTAATAGCTTTTTGATTATTAAGATCATTATTTAGAGAGAATTATTATTTTTTAAAAAAAATTATGTTTAATGTATAACTTAAATTTTAACTACTTACTCTGTCCAAAAATATAAATCGTTTTGGATTAATTATTTTATCCAAAAATATAAATCGTTTTAAGTATTTTAAACAGTAATAAATGATATTTTTATAATATTATCTTTATTAATGCATTTCTAATAATTATTGGTTTTAAGATAAAGAATAATTTAATTAATTTATTCTTAGCTATGAGAATTAATTATTTTCTTAATTCATATATAAAAATCAGATAGAGTAATTGATAACTTAAATGTATAAAATATATTTTGTTTTTTATCATTTGGACTTGCTCTTTCCCTGAAACAATATTTAAGTTTGAGACTGTTGTTTAAATTTTGTAATCAAACCAGAAAAAGGATCTTTATTTTTTTTATCTATCAATATTTTTAACTTTGAAGTGTGATTCTTTTTTACTTTCCAATAAAGAAGAAAAAAATCATTTTTTAATTTTCGATAGGCGCACACCAGGATCGGTGAGTATATTCACCTCGTCTCCTGCTCTCTTTTCAGATTTTGAATAGTCTAAATATATCGCGCCTCTTCTACTTCGATTGAGGTAATATTATATATTCTCTCCTTCAATTTATTATGCAATACTTCAGTTTTAATAGGTATATATGTCGAAATTAAGAGCCTTTTAATTTTTTTTCTATTTTATATGATTTATGACTTTGAATATTTCAAAGTAATGAAATATTTATTTTTGAGAAAAATATACGCAAATATAAGAGTAGTTCATTAATATTTTCTATTATCACTTTTTAACCTTACAATGTATTTCAATGTGAACAATCTTACAAAAATAATCCATTTAAGTCTTTTATCACTTGAAGCATCCTTTATAAATTACTTAGAACATCTTCTCATGAATTCAATTTTGATATATTTAACATCATAATAGTTTTAAAGCATAAAATATCCTATTTAATAGTAATTACACATGCGTAGTAATACTACTTCTATGACTAATATATTTTTCCTATGAACAATGCAAACCCTTACTATTTTAGAATGGTACATTCTTTTTTTTTTTATGGCCATTAACGGTGGATCAATTTCTTGATTTGTATAATTTACAAATCTATATGAAATTAATTGCCGAATTAAACAATGTTGAAGCAAGTAATTTTAATAAAGTAATATTAAAATAAATAAATAACGACAAATAAACCTTAGCGGCTATTTTTTGTTAACTGTTGACAACTTTTTACCGAAGAGCTAGTATAAATGATGGTACTATCTTGTCTAGACCATGTCTATCACCTTATTTATAAAATAAACCAACGAAAATAGAAATTTTTATTGAAAAACGAAAGTAATTCTGACTAAATACTAGAGAAAAAAAAAAAGGAATAAAATATGAATAATTTTTAATAAAAAAAATATTTTCATTGGTTTAATTCATAGGTGGAGTCATGGTCCCGTTCTAGGCAAATATTTTCCATTAACAATTGCAATGCCAAACAATCAACACATGACAAATCTCCCTAGAATCGCACACCAAAGCATAGCTTAATAGTAATTGCATCTAAGACCTGCTACCACAATACTGAAAAAAATATATATACATATCCCCTGGAATCTGGAATCCGATAAACGAACATAATTTGGTTATTACTGCTATTTTAGTCCTTCCATCCGAAAGCAGCCGCAGTACCTACATCTAAATGGTGCCAATCAACAAATGAGAATAATAACATACCATCTCTCCTGATCTCTGCAAATTAATGATAGCATAGCAGTCGATAAACAAAATCCAGCTTAATTCTAATTTTTCATGCTAATGTATATAATTACTGATATACATTATAAAATGTGTGTTCACCATCATCAAGATCTACTACTCATATAGTGCCTTTCAAATGAGTCAAAAAGATTTACAAATCATCAAAAACTCGAGCCGAACTTTGAAGCTTAGTTTAGATTCATATCGTTATGCAAGTGATTGTATCCAACAGCAAAATAGTATCTAGAGATACTTTCTCGCAAGCGCGCGAACTTTAGTGTCAAAATGTGAAGATGTAATGCGGGAACCAGGCAAGTAGAGGGGATTAAGAAGAATCTGCAGAATTCCATAATTCATGATGCCATGTCAGTCAATAATCAACCTCCTCAAACATCAGAAGAACAAATTTATTCAATCAAATTGTTAATGAATGCAAAGGGAACATATGGGCCCAGAATTTCAGTATTAAAATTTGAGTGATCTACAAAAACCTTGCAGATACAAGCATGCTTAGCAGGAAGGTTATAGTTAGGTTTGGATTTTGCTGGAAGTCTATAATTGCCGCTTTCATAATATTGGAGAAAAAAAAAATGAAAAAAGAGAAAATGAATCTTCAGATGGAATTTTCATTGTGCTCGTGTCAAAGTCCTAATACTGAGAAACAGAGGAATCCGAATGAAGTTCTACAAGTGCAGAAACGAAAGAAAAGATGGCCGGCATTAAAATGTAGCTAAATTGAAAACAACAGTGTAACTTTCTCAAAATGTTTCACCAATTACAAGCATCAAGGTAGCAGACGGTAGCAAGCATTATCAAGAACAAGAAGTTATGGAAATATTTGATCCAATGCTGATTCTCAAAATCCTATGAGCTATACAGTTCACTACAAAGCTGTTCTAGAGATTGAGAAATATTAGATAATGGCATTTCCTAGTTGCAGATCATATAAAATCCAATGGCAAAATAACTAAGAAAATGTATAGGTATAAGGACTGGAGACCAAATTTGCTAATCATGCTTCTTCCTTTTAACACATAAAAGATAGGAATCATCCAAAGGGAAAAAAAGGATCAAAATAAGAACATGAAATAACTGTCTCCACGCCATTTTTAATATCATAGCTTATTGCTTGTTCTCAAAATTATACTTAAAAGGCTTGAAACTTGAAACATTGACATGGATTAGAAATCAGCATGCATGTAGGGGGGAAAAAACAAATTACATGTAAAATTTCAAAATAGATTTTTCTTTTTTTGGGCAGGGGAAACTGGAGAAAGAAGAGGAAGTAACTTACTTTTATATAAAGCTCATGAACCTCCTGAAAAAAGCTCTTGATTCCATCATCATTGTGAGGATTGTGAAGTAGCATAAACCGTGTATGTGTGAGAAGTCAAAGAAAATATTGAATAGGAGGCCATTTATGCCAACATAAAACTATAGGAAAAATATCATGAACTTAAACAGCTAAGAATAAGTTAACAATGACAACATGAGAAATCACCTTACTCCATTGTCATGTCTAATGACTACTTTATTGTGAGATAAAGATATGCAATCATGGTAAGTTGAAAATACTAACTTCGGAAAAATAAATTAAAGTAGACAAAAACATATTCACATCAGTAGTATACAGTACGGCATATTCTTTATGGTTTCAACCCGGCACACCACACAAAAAATAGAAAATTGCGAAAGAATACCACAGGGTAGAAGAGACTACAAGAGTCTACACTCAGAACCTGAGAATACATAAAACTACTCTCTTCCTCATGCAACATGCCATTATTGACAAAAGGTGCCCATGCACAATGTCATGGCTGGTTAACAATATATCATGGCCAGGGATACAGGCGATCAATTAATAGTCATGATCCAAAAATTTGGCATATTTCACCAAGTATTTGCAAAAAACTCAACTCTCCTCATGACAGTGTTGATTAATGATCAACTTTACTTACCTTGAAAGACAGGTGCATGTTAAAAAAGATGCATTTATGTCATATTTATGAGAAAATTTTATAGGCTAGAACAAATTATTTTCCTAGGGCATGATAAGTTACATTGTTGTTCAGCCAAAAAGGAATTAAAAACATCTCATATTTGCTTTATTAGGAAAACCACAAGGGAAAGGATATGACCAGCTGTAACATAAACTGATACCACCAGATCATTAAACTTGTCAATTGCTTTTAAGAACCTGCAACAAAGACGTAATAAATAAAATTGTTAGGATAATTACAAAAATCAGGAAAAGAAAAGAGGAAAAGCACACACTCATGCACACATGTAAAGAGACTAATTTGAAGCAACAATGTTTACATGGCACTAGTGGTCCAAGCCATGTCCTGAACAATATCCAAAGCTGCATGTAATATAAATTGATGCAGCTGAGCAGCATCTTCTCTCTGTCATCAGTCAATGGGGCAAGAAATGACTGTTATTAATCAAACCAGCTTGTTATCGAAGGCCATCAAAGTATGATTCAACAAAACAAGAAAATGAATTGGAAGACAACAGCCATAACAAATACAGCCTAAAGACAAGCCCACAGTTAACAACTCAAAAGTTGAAGACAACAGCTAAAGCAAATATAGGAAGAAAAATATACAAGCAAAAAAATGCACATACACAGATTATACCAAACTAGCATTTTCTCCTCTTACTTACTACCTGCATTTTATTGGCAAGACAGTTACACATCTAGTGGTAAACTATCTCGAATTAGATCACTGATGCATGAAAAAATAACATTTAATTGTTGATGCAAAAGTTAATTCAAATGCACAATTCCAGTTATTTCCAAAAAAATAACAAGACCAAACTAAATGAAATCAGCCCAATAAGCCTTATTTCCTACATTTTTAGGTCTTGTAAGTAGAAACGCTCCAATGACAATGCAGACCTCACTATCTACAAAAATCCCAAATAAAATAGCTAAAGCAGAAAACTTTTACACTTCATCCATTAATCAGCCTACTCAATCTCCATTAGCAATCAGAATGAAAAGGAAAGAATTACTACAAAACATGAAATGCACCACTTTACCAAAAATACCTTATAAATTAGAATTATATTTTCAATCAAACAATAAACGATATGAAAAGAGGATCATACTTTAGCGGCAGATCCAACTTCAGCTTCATATATAGGGATATCATTCCTGCTTACTATGATAAAACAAGCTGTGGTTGCCATCTCTGAACAATCAGAAGACAAACAAATTCAGAATTTTCAAAGAAAAAACAATACTCAACTGAGGAAAAAGAAATTCAGATTCGTCCGTTAAAAGCGGAGATCTCACTTCCTCCTGCTGTCGTTTTAGCAATAACCAAGCCAATATGCCTCTCGCGTTTTCTTTCTCTTTGCCTACTTTTGAGCTTGGGCCTCCAATTTATTTTGATTGGGCTTTAGTCAGCCCAAATTTGAGAAAAGAATACAGTGGAGGCCGAACGGCAAATGAGACCTAGGTAGGAGCGCGAGAAACTGAAGTAAAATACCAGAACGGTAGCGGGGGGAAAATGGGAAGCGAAGCAAAAAGCAATGGCAGCAGTGGTGGAGGATTCAGGTCAAAATTGGAACATGCCTTGTATAGTGGAGACAAGAAGCATGTAGTGGCTGGAATCGCCATTATTAGTGTGGTTTTTGGCGTCCCCTGGTACCTCATGACTCGAGGTTCTTTTCTCTCTTGGATTATATATATATATATTTGGATTTTAAGTAGTTCTGTTGCTAATTTTGTTTGTGCTGAAGTGAATCTTCCATCTAATTTTATTCTTGTGGAGAATTGAGGATGAATCATGTTTAAGTAGGCCAAAGATTTGAACTTTAATTTGGTTTTCTTTATGCAATTAAATAAGGTTTTGATTTAGAGAAGAGAAACAAAGAAGAGGATGTGGAATCGATATAAAATGTTGAACTGGAAACTTGTTTATTGAATTTGCTTGGGGCGGTGAATGATAAGGGAAATTACTGATTTTTCACTTCTTGGATCATGAGATAGAGTATAGGACACTATGTATTGTGCTTACGGTATTAGGGAGAGTTGAATGTTTGGGTGCACAAACGCAAGTGAGCATTTTGTAGAGAAAGAAGTGGAAAAGTTAACTAATATCCCTTTTGCTGCTTGATCTAAAGCCAATTGTTACCATAAATAATGTTATTTTTTCAAGCTCTTATTTTTTATTGGAGTGTTTGTAGTGGTTGGAATGTTTGCTTTGGTAAGTTACTGATAGATGAATCATGTAGGATGAGAACACTGCTTCAGTTGATACCTTTTATGTGCATCATGTGTTGGAACTGTACATGGATTAAGTAGAAGAAATTGAATAGCTCTGCTATAGCATTTCTATATAATCAGAGGTGATGTAATTGGGCTCCTTTCTTAATCAGAAGGGAAGATGCATTGGATGACAAATGTAAATTGTCCAGTTTTACATAGCTTTACGGGAGGGGACCATGGTTAAGCAGCAACACTTTTCAGTGGCTGTGGTGATAAGTAATCGAGGTTATAAAGTAATATATTTTGCTTATGTCATAATCACTCACTTGAAATGAGATGGTCCAATCCTGAATGTATTTCAAGTTCAATCCTGAATGTCTAAATTTTCAGTTCAGATATCCTGAATTTAGCAAGCAGTTGTTCATATGACAAGGTTGTTAGTGACTATGCTGAGATTATAATGAAATTTTCATTTCTTAACACTCGGTTTACAATTAAGTTTCTTTTGCATTTTGTGGTAAAGTCTGTTGCATCATTATCCACTATATTGAACCCATGATAATATATTCATCTAAATATTTTGTATTTCAAGTTTTCAGCAGTGATGGGCTTCTTTCTATGCATTTCTTTTCACCAATTTTCATTAGATAATTCAGTTTGTTTACTTAGAAAAAGAAATATAATTTATTGCATAATCCTTATTGCTTTTACTTTCCCAGATTATGGGGTTAAATGATATTTGATGTCATAATAGTTGTATAGACCAATATTTCTAATGTTACCTGCAATTAGTTTTCCATGTGCCCTGCACAAGAGTTATGTTGAACTGGCTGTCCTATTAATCTGTTTGTTGAAGTGGTGGAAGATAAAAATTGAACTTGCAATAATTCTCCCTTCATGGGTTTTATATACAGAATATAGTTTATGTGTAGTGTTATGGATCCCTTTATGTGAATTTGACCAACTTTGCTAGGGAAATCCTTTAAGATTAATATTGTGATAGTGTTTATCTGATCATGATTAAATTGGCCAGACTAGAAATTTTTATTCTGTGGGCATCATACTATTTGATACTTTTGTTTAACATCTACAAGTCATTTACCATTTTCCCACTATTGTTTGGTTGGGGTGTGTGTTCGCAATTGAGCAAACTCTATCTAACAATGTTCCCCTCTTATAGGAACAAAACATCGGTCTCATCAAGATTATTTGGAAAAAGCCGATAAAGCACGGAGTGAAAGACTTTCCTCTGGTTCTGCTCGAGGAGCTTCATAAACTTTACTTGAAGTGATTAGTTTCCAGTGAGCATTTTGATAGTTAGGTACAAAGGATCTTGGTTATTGTGCACACTTTCCTTTATCTTTGGTTTACTGAGAATGGTTTGCAACCCCCTTACGGGTGTTTTTGTTTATTGTGTTATTGAGATACATTATGCGGATGAATACTGAGTAAAAAATTGAAATGTTGGAAGACTTAGAAGTCCAAGTAGAAGCTGTACTGTGAAAATTTTTTTTTTGACAATTTGGCAACTTACTTAATTACATGAAATAAAACTCGATATGTTTATTGAATGATTTAGTTATCTCAGTCTTCTCTCAACCACATAATGATTTTGCTTGTGTCTATCTATATTCAAAATCTATATATCTTGATTTTTCTTTTTTAATTTCTTGTTGAGAAAGATGATCTGAGCAAAGTGTTTCGATTTCCATTGATCTCTTTGCTTTTTGGTTCAAAAGACAGGAAGGAGAAGCTTTAACTCTTCGTTTAATAAAATGCAATATGAGACAAGCTCTTAAAGTCACTAAATGACTCATCCAATGGTCTTTCTTCTATCTTCAATCATGCGATATACAGGAGAGACAAATAAGCATCCAAAACACAAGTGAAAGGGTGGTATAAGCAGCTTAGCGAAAAAACAAGAGAAAATTAAAAGGAAAGTTTTGTCTCATTACTTGCGATCAGAAAATATCTAAAACTGCCTTTGCAGGTTCTCTCCCTCTCTTAGTAATGCTTCCAGTTGAGTATCTTTGTCACTGTTAGTAAAATGTTGGAATTAAACTTTTGAATCTGCAAATTATCGCTGTAGTCATGTTCAAAACAGGCATAGATGTTCAATTACTTACAACTGGAAAGGAGGATTTTTTTAGAGGAAAAAAAATTATGTGAAGAAAATATCAAGGGAAAGGGTGAGGAAAATGTCAAAAGAAGGAAAATATGCACTAATTTCCTTCTCAGGCTCATAAATTTAAAATATCTCCAAATTGGAGAAACAATAATGAATGGAAAATATATATATATATATATATATATGAATGGAAAAATATATATATATATATATAATATATATATGATATTATTACTTTTCCTTCATCATTTTTTTTTCTCCTTCCAAGCAAAGCCGCTTCCTAACTCATTCCCTTCTCATATATGTATATTACTTTTCCTTCATCCATTTTTTTTTCTCCTTCCAAGCAAAGCCTGCCTTCCTAACTCATTCCCTTCTCCACTTTAGGATCTAGATAAAAAGGAACTGAAATGTGAAATAAATTTAAAGAATTGCCCTGATGTAGAGCTGTCATTCCATTACATACCTTTCATTTCATATACAGTGTACAATAGTAATTAATAGTAGCAATCGAAGAAGAAGTATAATTTCACTTCTACTTCAATTTCCTACCATTATCCTATTATCTACAGCGGCATAAGTCTTCGATACTTGAAGAACCATACAAATGCAAAAAATATGGAAACTCCAGTCACTCCAGTAATGACGAGGACCCACTTAAATGCTTCTGCATCATCAAACAATGATATAGGAAAGTTCATGCCAAAGATACCTGCTACCACTCCAAAGATGGCAACGACAAATGTTGCAGTTGTGAGTAGCAGCTCAAATTGGATAAGTTGATTTCGGACATTATCCTGCAATCAAGATATTCAACGATTCTCAAAATAGCATCAAAATAAATGGTTCTGTATCAGCACAATTAAACGAAGCAAAAAGAATATAATGCAATACATTTATGTTCTACTGCCCTCTGGGTCAATCATTTGAAACAAATTGACTGTGCCTTTAAAAATGGAGTATTTATGAATATTTTGCAAGACTGGTATAGTGGTATCCTAAAAATACCCATAGAACTCTAGGCTTCATGTGATTTTGCCATTGCTTTACAATGTGCAACAATCAATAGCTACTTCCCATCTCTACACATCATTGCCACCAATTATACATACTACTTAATAGTTAGAAGAGACTCTGTAATTTTTCCTCACACGAGTCTCATAATGGCACTTCCTACATTACCAAGATAAAATTACAACATATTAAGTAGAAAGGGAGAGTGAAAGAGACACATACCAGCTGAATGTTGATGAAATCCTCCGTGTCATCAATGTACTCCTTCAACTGAAATCAAGTAAATAAGAGAGAAATAATTGTTTCCATTTCATACATGAAACTGTGAATCAAAATGAAGTATAAAAGGTGCTGCTTTTACCGATGTCAACTTGTTTAAGGTGCTATCAATAACAACAAAGTATGCTTCCAACAACATCTCTAACTGCTCTATACTCTCCGTAGCACTTTCTGAACTCTTCATGCTCTCATGTCGGCTCCTTGCAATGCTCAAGCTTTTCTCAAGCCTCCGAGATTCAGGGGGTGAGGAAACAGGAGAAACTGGAGCAGAAATAGATAATCCACCATCATTTGATCTAAATCCCATCAAGGACTGCTCACCATAGAATGATGACTCCATCCGGCTCTTCTTTTCAGTAAGATACATTTCAGCCATATCCCCGTCATCATCCATGAGCTGCTCTATCTCATCCCTAACCTAGATAATACAAGTCAGGGTTGCATAAGGACAGGGAACTAGGAGTCAATTGCAGGTGAAGGTTAAAAATGTAAAATAAGATACCTTCTGAACTCTCCTGGTCAAGGCAACAAGTCTGCTTTTCAATCGGCGCACACGTTCCAAGTTTAATGTACTGATTTTCGATGTCAGTTCATCTAGTAATGGGTATGCTTCAATTTCTAGCTCTGCTGCCTTTGAAATATTTCCAAGTTTTAGCAAATATTGTCTTATTGTGGAATTTTTACTAGAAAATATGAGAGAACAAACTACTATAGCTTAAAATAGTTCAGAGCTTGCCATCATTGATCATTCAACAATTACAAATGAAAAAACAAAATGTGCAAAATACACTACAGAAATATATTTGTCTCAAAAAAACAACGATGCAATGGATGATTATTTATCAGCCAATGTAATAATGAAATTTTCAATTACTTCCAAGACAAGCTTCAGAAGTGTTCAACAGATTATAAAGGACCTAAGCTAAACAAAATTCATATAACTGGCCTCATGCACGAGAGACCAAAGCAATGTTAAGTTGAATCAATATCACCATCATATGAAAAATGTAAGTTCATTAAAGTTATTGTTGATTATTTTCCTTCTTTACCAAAGAATAAGGATTGTTATCCATCAACAATATAAATCACAATGCAATCAAATCCACATGAAGTCCTAAATAGTTGGTAGCTATAGATCTAAAGTGGTTCATTTTTATGCCTGCTGTTTGACAGTGCAAACTCTAAATAAACATATGATCCCTAGGTTTCTAAATGTCAAAATGCATATTAGCAGTCAATACTCAGCAAAAGCACCAGATAAATGAGAAGATGAACAGTGGTTTGCCAGAAGGAGGTTGGATCTCAGGCAAAAAGCTAAAGAGTCCAAGAACAACAACATAAAATCACATCTGTTTAAAAACCCAAGCATCAATGAAGATATAACCCACCAGTGTTAAGATATTATATGCATCCACCCCGAATCCATTCAATTATAGTTGAATAGTACACCAGGCTAGTACAAACATCCAAAATGATAGTACAAATACACATGTTTCAGAAGGATTGAACCATTCAAATTAAGAATGTTATAGATTTAATTTTTCACTTGTACACACCTGAGTATCAAGGAAAGTACAGGCAGCTTCCAAAGCAACTTCAAGTGCCTTAAACTCAAACGGCAAATAATCAGGGGATGGATTCCCAAACACATTGTCAAAATTCCTAGTTCTCCTTCTACTCAAGTCAGCACCTTCTGCCTGCCAAACCTCACCAACAACAGGTGTTGTCAACCGCCGTTGTAGCTCCACCACATACTGCAACACATAGCTATCAAGGGAATTTAGGAGCAAAACCTCATCAGCTGTAATAATACACCGAATCTGCTCCAAATTTACAACGATAGCCTTCTCTCTACCAAGAATTGTTGATGGGTAAACAAATAGAGGGTCTAGCAGTCTTAGATCACGAGCAGGAAGATCACAACGACGCATCATAGTGAACTTGTCAACCTCAATAACCTGGGAATTTCCAGTTGAATCAACACGAATCCAAGACCGGAGCCCTTGGCCACGCTTCTTCAAACCCAAAACATCAACACCTTGAAAAGGCTGTCTTCCAGAAGCAGATGCTCTGTAAGGACCATCTCTGAGATTTACAGCAGATGCAGGTTTTGGTGGAAGCAAGCGCTCTTTAAGATCCGCCATCAATAACAAAGTCCAAAGTGCTGGTATAGATCATATAGATAAGAGTATAAGCACACACCCATTACAAAATTGGGTTAGTTTTCTCTTTATATACAAAAAGGATTCATCTTTTAAAGCTATCATGTAGAGGAAAACACATTCTAACAATTTGCACGCCATAATGAACATATACTGTCTATCTAACCTCAGCATTACAACACTACAGCAGAACTAAAAATTGGACAAATTTTTGGGGGAAAATCTTCTCAATCCATTAAAAGCAAATTCTACCCAAAAAAATTTATTACCAATTTCGCAGCATTATATTTAGATGCATTAGACGCAGAAATATAAGAGACCGTGTCGTTTACCTCTTATCCCAATGAGAAATCAAGCGAAACTAACTAACAGCAGTTCGATTCTCTATCCAACCAACAACAACTGCAACAAAAATTAAAATCTGAAATAAATCAACCCATGATATGAAAAAAAAAAAAAAGGAAAAATAGAGAAAACCCTAGATTTGTAAGAATCAGAGAAATACCTGAGAGTGATTTGAGAGACAGAGAAACGTAATTTGAGCTGTAAATCGATTGAAATTTTCAAGCCATTCGCTCAAAAGAGAAGAGGGAACGAAAGAATCTTATTTCGGAATCAAATCAAAATTATTTATAACTATTTCGAAAAATGATAAATAAAAATGTGTTTCTGAATTTACTTTTACGTCTGTGTTTCGAATTTGATTATAGAAAGTTAGCAAAGTCGGAATCAGACCCAAATTACCCTTTTCACAGTGAACTTATGATAAGTTAATTAATGGATAAACTGACAAACACATCTAACATCAGCAATTTATGTGGCTGAGAGATTAACTTTTACAATTTATTTTCATGGTCATTTTTGTTTACAAACATACACATGTATTCCAATAAATAATAAATTCTTATAAATAGAATAAATTTATTTTCATGGTCATTTTTGTTTACAAACATACACATGTATTCCAATAAATAATAAATTCTTATAAATAGAATAAATTTATTTTCATGGTCATTTTTGTTTACAAACATACACATGTATTCCAATAAATAATAAATTCTTATAAATAGAATAAATTTATTTTCATGGTCATTTTTGTTTACAAACATACACATGTATTCCAATAAATAATAAATTCTTATAAATAGAATAAATTTATTTTCATGGTCATTTTTGTTTACAAACATACACATGTATTCCAATAAATAATAAATTCTTATAAATAGAATAAATTTATTTTCATGGTCATTTTTGTTTACAAACATACACATGTATTCCAATAAATAATAAATTCTTATAAATAGAATAAATAAAAGCATAAAAAACATAGTCATCCTTTGGATCGGTAAAATGTGAAAGCGGTAGATATATCATACTTTAATTGAAAAATAAAATTCACAGATTTGAATGATATTTTTGGAATAAAATTAAAATTATTTAACTAAATAAAGAAATTTGATAAATTTATAGAATTTAATAGATTTATCACTCAAATTTCATTATTCTAAACACAGAAAATTTTGAATTAATATTCACTATTTTTCAAAATGAAGAACAGCAGTAACCAACAAATAATTAGTTGAGTTAGTAAGCAATTTTAATTTCAATGATAGCGTCTATGCAATAGAAAGTAGCCCACAGTTTAACACCAATTCCTTGTTTTATATTATATAACCTCATATGTAACGCGATAAAGAATTTGACACCATTGCTATAAAATAAACTTTTTCATAAATTTTAAAATTTGGAGTTAGACGTCTTCTCATTTTCATTTTATAAAATTCGTTCATTTTCTTAATAAATAGTAATTTTAATCTAATCCTTAAATTGGCATCTAATATCCAATTTGGGTTACAAAATTAATTTTAAATCCCATTCAAAAAAAATAATAAAAGATTAAATTTTTTTTAACTTTACTGTTTTTAAAATAAAACAAATCATTTAATAGAAATATAAGCTCCACAACAAAAGGCTTAGAAATTAAATGCTACATTTTACCATTATAGGTACATAGAAATATAAATTGTCCACAAATCAGGAACTTTATGTACACAGAATAACCTCTTTAAACCCACATCCATTTACAGAGAAACACAACCTTTTCTTTTTTTTTTTAAATAAAAATTAAAAGGTTGAAATATAAATAATATTTATATGGGACTGTGGGTGGGTTTAACGCCATACTTAATTTACATTATTTACAATTAATTATTTTTATTTGTATCTTAAATATAAGGATTAATATGGGATGAGTAATCACGAATCCCAGCTCCTTCCCATCCCATCCATTCCTCCCACATGTCCCAATCTGGATCGTACATTCCTCTCATTGGCTCATCACTCCCTTCATCGTACGGCTCATACATTTCCGATTCGACTGCTTCTCCTCTCAAACTACTCATCACAATCTGCATTGAAAAAATGGGTTAATTATATTATTAGATAAAACTTATTTCTTTCAATCTAAGATGTGAACATGTGCTAAACTTACAAAAGATGCAAGATTTAAAGTGGTCAAGAACACTTTTTTATGTCAAAAATTGTAGATGAATAGTATAAAGATAAAGCTTTTCACAGCGAATACAGTACAAAATACTTAAAAAGTCATTACGAACACGATCTTAGTCTTATCTTAAGACTTTTTTTAAGCCATTAGTATTGAAATTTCTCCGTTCAATAATCCGGATTTGCATACTAAATTTTGTGTTCTATAAGCTTGAACTCCAGTTCTCTAGAGTTCTCTAATTAACTGTGAAGAGACCCTTTGTCATCCCATTATCAAGCTCGAGCTGAAGCTCTGTTGTTATGATAAGAATGGGACCCAGTCATAATTATTGGGTTTTATCTTTTTGCAATCAAATTGTTGGTGAGGTGGGTTATTGTATTCCATAAAAACAATAACGCCCACAGAAAAAACACAGAATTGTTGTGCTAAAAATAGCTCACAATAGTTCCTAATTTTATACAAATCAGAAACAGAGGAAGGAAGAAAACCATGAAACACAACCAAAATGAAAAATTGCAGGCAAAAAAAGCTGCGAGACAGAAAGAGGGAGATGAATACATATACATACATCATATGCTTCATTAATCTGACTAAACTGTACACCACAATTGCTTCCTCTGCATACATCAGGATGATACTGAAGAACACCAAAAATTATTATCAATTAACCAACAAAAGAAATTAAATGAACCCAATAAAAAAGAAATTAAAGGGAAAATTTGATTAATTTATTGATTAATTAGTAGTTTACCTGCAAGGCAAGCTGCCTAAAGGCTTTCTTGACCTCAGATTCAGAGGCTCCACGTTGGATCTTTAGGGTTTTATAAGGATCCGTCAAATAAGAAGATGGAGAAGAAGCAGAAGAAACACAATAAAATTTAACTCTTTCTTTAACCATATTGTTCTTCTTTCTCCTGCTTTTGATCTGAAACCAAGAAGATGAAGAACCAACACACCCATTTCCTCCGATCATACCAGCAGCAGCACTCGCCATATCTTTTCTTAAACCCAGAAATACCCAAAATATAAATCTTAGAAAATCTCAATTTCTTGAAAAAAACCAAGAAACACCCACAAAATCTTTCTTATGAAAGATTTGATCTTCACTATAATTGAGCTAAAGTAAAGAAAGAAAGAGAGAGAAGGAAAGGAAAACAATTGGCAATAAAGGGCAAAATGGTGCTGGTTTGGGCCAATAAAATAGAGATTCTTGAAATAAAGGTGGGTAAAGGTTTCAATAATGGAAGAGAATTATGAAATTGGATAAGAGTGACTGTTCAAATAAGGAGATGTGTAATATATTTATAGAGGGAAAATGGTTTTTGAGGTCAGATACAGCCATCGCAAAAGTCCTTATCCATTTTTTATGATGCTGAATTGGTGATGACGTGTAAATCTGGCAATTTCAGATGAGAGAGAAGAAGAGTCCTGTGCTTATCTTCTGTTTTAGTCAGGGTTAGGGAATGGAACGGCAATGCAACCACTTACTGTTTTCTCTTCTCTTTTCTCTCTTCCCTTTTCTGTTTCCTAACAATAAAGAAACATGAAAGGGTTTATTTTGGGAATATTCCCTGTCATTGTAAATTTAAGTTTTGTGGCTATAAATTTTATAATTTTTTGCAATCTATCTCTGCATTTTATATTTTATATTATTCTTACATGTATAAGAGTAATTGAATCATGTCAAATCAGAATCGTTTTAAATTTAAACTTAAGACTCGTTAAATTTTAAAAATCATACGCGATCTTTAACTCAATTTGTTTATAATTTCTTTTTAAATTTAAGCTGTTCAAACTCGATTTTAAGAATTTAACTCATTTATTAAACGATAAATATATATATTTATATCAAGTAACTAGTCTTATGTTTATAATATTTTTTAAAAATTAAAAATTATTATTAATGGGATAGCTATTATCCAACCATTTGCTAGCTATGGCAAGGAAGTATCCTTAATCCTTGTTTTTCCCTCAAACAAAGATGAGCAAGCTTTGTAATATTAATTTTTATCACTTAACATAATATTATTATAATATGGTATTGGATACAATGTATAAATATCTTTTTTAAATTAGCCTTTCAAATATTATTTTATTTTACTGACTACAAAACAAAGAAGATTCAAATGCAATTATTATTATTATTATTTTATTTGAGGCCTCTGTATAGTTGTAATTGAATGTTAGAAAGTTGATCCTTTATTAGTTAGTTTCAAGGTTGAATATGGCAATGAGATTATTGTTATTGCCATTTCAAAGTTCGAACCATTAAATGCATATACAATTAATTTCATTTTAAGTATTGTAGAAGGAAATTCTCTTTATATATATATTGAAGATAGAAATTAAAATATTTCAAATAGAAAATGATATGAAAATGACACTTAATCTAATCTACTTGCCCACACTTAGGACAAAAGTATTTTTGAACTATATAATGGCTTATTATGGAAATTGATCCACCAAACTTATATTTATAAATAATGTACTAGGAGTCATGTCATCTCAATTAAAATAAAATTGTATTGGATAGGATTTTTTTATTTCTCTTTTTTTATTAAGAAAGGTAATTATTAAATTGAAAATTTTATTATCCACAATTCAAATCTTGAATTAATAGATATTATAAATTACTTGTTGGGTATTAAATTTAAACAATCGAATTAATTTTTAAGATCATTAATCTAATCTTTTTTTTTTTCGAGTATTTCTATGTTCTTTGAGTATGAAATTAATATTGTTTTGAGATTTGAGACATTTGCGGATATATTAGCTGAAAAATATTTTTCAAATGTTTTATTTTCTATTGTTTAGTTGTAATATTGAAAATTAGTTAAAAATATTAAAATCTTTATATCATAAGACCATAAAAATATTAATAATAATATTAAAAGTCTTCTATATCATAGACATAAAAATATAATTAATAATAATAAAAATTTTATAATTTTATAAATTTTATTTTTAAATATGAAAAGAATGTAAAAAAAAATAAATTATGAAACCGCCGGTGGTAGCTGGTGGTAAATGGTGACTGGTGGTAGTGACTATGATGATTAATAAATTACAAAATATAGATTTATAAGATTTGCTAATATCAGAAAAATGTTTTACTCTTTCGAAAATGAGAAGTTATTTTTCTTAAAAAAAAGACTTAATTTTTCTTTTCATTAACTTATTTTTCTAAACATCCCAAATAATGAAAAATTAAAAAATATTAAAATTATTTCATTAAAACAACCGAATTTAAATAAAACAAAAGAAAAGGCAGAAGAAAAAGTAGGATCAAGATAATATTATACAAGTTGTAAGTAAAAATTCAAGAGGTTACAAAATAGAATTCAACATGTATTTAATTATTTATGGTGCGTGATTATTTTACTCCCACTATCAAGTAAGTAAAAGTTTAAAAATAAAAATGGACGACCCACTATTCAAAGAAATAACATTTAAAATTTGTAGAGTAAAATTTAATAAATTGGGGGTCAGATTTGTCAAATAAAAAATAATAGTAATACTCTTCAAATTAAAGTAGCAGAAACAATGTTCAGAAGGCCATACAAAATATAGCTGACGCGTCGAGTGGACACGTGGGGACTTTTAACGCGATAAGTGGAAAAAAGTAGCAGAAAATTGTGGACGAAATATGTCAGCAGATTGGCCCGCAAAACAAGGAAAATAATTGTTTTTTGGGAAAATAAAACAAAAAGCGATGACTCAAAACCGATTAGGATTAGATAATGTCACCGACCCGTTACTTCCTCGAAAATAAACGCTCTCTCTCTGTTTTTTTTTTTTTTTTTTTTTTTTTTTTTTTTTCAGTTATAGTCCTAAAAATAACCGATGGATAAGAAGATTTACAAGGATTTACACGTGGCCTGCATGCAATAACGGAGGATACAAATCCGATATGCCCTTGAAGGTCGGAGGTGATGTTAGAATTAGAAATTTGTGGTCCTTTTTGTATGTACAATATCTGGTCGAATTATAATTCTCTTCCGTTACTAAATACTTACCACGTGCTATAAAATATATATTTTCAAGTATTTATTGTATGTATAATTTTAAAGAGTAATAAATTTTTTTTTATACTTATTCATTATATATGATTACAATTAATTAGTGTTTAGATATATTTAATTATGGTATTAACTGTGATTATATACAATGAATAAATAAATATAAAAAAGATATATTAAATTAAGGGTAATATGTTAATTTAATCAATAATTTATTGCAACTTAGAAAAAGTTAATGATTTTTTTAACAAATGTGAAATTTTAAATGTGACAAGTATTATGGAACGTAGTATGACAAGATAGTATATAGAATACCATAATATTTATCACATTTGAGAAAATAGCTTGTTTCAAAATATTTATCACATTTAAGGTTTCAAGGAGTAATAAATATTTTTTTTACATATTTACCATTGTATACAAACAATAATTATTATCTCAATTTAATGGTTTTCTTAAAGAATTAGTATAAAATTAGGAATAATATAATCAATTTACTTAATAATTTATTGTAACTTAGACAAATTTAATGATTTTTTTTAACAAACTTAAAATTATAAATGTGACAAATATAATAAAACAAAAATAGTATCGTATTTATGGTTTCAAATAGAGATAATTTTTTTTTTATATTCACCTTTTATACATTACTAATAATTAACGTTTCAATTTCTTAAAATTAAGATATATTAAATTAAAAGTAATATATTCAGAATTTAGTTTAATGATTTTCTTGCGTTGTGTTATTTTTCCTTTATATGAAATCTTTTTTTTTTTTTTTTTTTTTTTGTTTTTTCTTGTCTGAAGATGAAAGATTATTATTCTTGCGACTTCTCTTAACACTTTTTTTTTTTTTTTTTTTTTCTTGTCTGAGATGAAAGATTAATTATTCTTGCGACTCTCTTAACACGCAATCTGGCGAAAAAAAAAAAAGGAAGCTCCAATTTTTATTAATTGAACTTACTTCATCGAGTTAAACTTTTCTTTTTTAAATTGAACTTAACTTATATTGAACTAAACTTAACTTATGATCAAAGAAAGTTAAAACAAATTGTGTAACCTTGAAAGAGCAATATATATTTTTTTTAATAACACAAATGCCTTTAATCCATCGCATAAATCTACTTCTGTTTGTATCACATCATATCCATAAAGAGGAGGCGCTTCCATTCACAAAAATCTTACACTTGGTCTCTTGCCTTTCACGTGAGAGATTTAAGTTATTTCCATTTAAACCAATCTCAATTAAAAGCGATATCCTATTTTGTCTCTCAGAAAAATTCAAAGAAGGTTTCAATCAATGAACACGATTCACTAACTACACAAACACGACCCAAGTTGCAAACCAATGCTCTCTCTCTCTCTATATATATATCTCTAGATATTCAAAAATATCCTATTTTGAGCGTCAATGGTCAAGCCCAGGAAGATATGCTGATTATTGAATCTCTGATTATTGAAAGTCATTGAATTAAATGACTTTCATGGAAATTTTAGACAGTCAAAATAAATAAAATTCTTTTAAACTAATTAACTAAAATGTTTCGTGTGGTATTGGATAACACTTTCTTCAGGAAGGAAAACTTTTCAATTTCAATTAACCAGTCGAAGAAAACAAAAACACACACATTCAATTTCAATTACCGAGTCAAAGAAAACAAAAACACACACATACACACAATAATACAAGTACAGAACTCAGAAAAAGTCAATTAATGGGGAAAAAAAATCTGTCATTTACAATCACAAAACCGTCTCGAATTGTAAAATTAACGCCCATGGTTCTTGCACTCGTTAAAGTTAACAACTTACAGTATAAGTAGCTACGTGTTACTTCTTCTCTTTGGACTCCATCAATCATTCTCAGACGGTCGATCAGAGGAGATTGGCACCTGCTCCAGAGAAGTACCTGAACTGATTGATTTCTTGAACTGCACTATTATCATAGTCATGTTGTCACATCCCTTACCACTGGCTGTGGGTGCCAAACACCTCTCGAATACTTGCTCGCAAATAGCTGAAAGCCTACGTTCCTGCATGGATTGTGACAAAAATAAACTGTGGTTATCTATTTTCTTGCTGCATGTATTTAAAATTTTATAGTAAGTGCGTATACAAATCACTTTGTTTAGCTGCTCACGCACATAATCCACTAGCTGTTGACTAGACATGCAATCCCTATTGCAAGGGGATCAAACATTATAACAATGACGAGGAAAGGAGTATAAGGAAATTGTAAATCTAAATAAACTTTCTGTAAATTGACATCTTTAAGCTTCAAATCCTA